TGAGTACTCCCGTAGTCCAACTTACCAACACCGGTTAATGTCCTATTAGAGCTTAGCGAAAATTTTTTTTTGTTTCGTTTTTTTTTTCTTTCAACTTTGACATTGGCAAAATCATCAGTTCTCATATTGATGGAGCCATAAAAATAAAAAGTGAAGTGAATGTTCACAATTTGAAGTGGTATTTATCCCCTTTCATACTATAATAATTTTAAAATGTTTGTTTTGTGATCAACAACAAAGCTTCCACTTATGATTCACATAGACTTGATTGGATCGGTTTACAAAGTGTTGTGTTGTATAATTATCACATCAATTACTTCGCGAAATCAAATCCAAAATATGCCAAGGTCAACGTGATAGAAAACAGGAACAGTCCAAAAGCATAGCCGAGTCACAAGAAAAACACACCAAAAATAACCACGAGAAGATAGGCGAAAGACTCCGGGTGCCGCTGGATTGATATCAGTGTTTTCAATTCAAAATTTGCAAAAAAGAAAAGGAAATACAAATCTGGCTATGAGTACCTACGGGGCTCTTTTAAATTTGATAAATTATAAATTAATTTGCAATAGGACTCAGAGATGTAATATACACACTTATTTGAAATACACCTATTTTTATACATTTTTGTTTTACTATTTAACAAGTCAACATTTTGTTCGAGAATCGAAGTGATTCGGTGAAATTCGGCGATTAATTGCTTACAACACTGTTATTTAAAAAAAATAGCTTGAGGACGTAACTGTTTTCAGGACGTTTCGGAGTAACTCAAAATTGCATTTTATTTTGGAATTTGTGCGATGACAGTACTTCAAATATGTTTTGTCATAATTATTATATACGTATCTACAAAATTTATGTATTTTTTTAAACTCAATTATGCTAATAAATTGTTTGTTTATTGTTTCGTTGATCGCATTCAAAGTTACATACTATCGCCTTCTTTAGCTGTCAAATTTAGCCTCTTATTTGGTGACGACTATAAACATGAACAATTTTCAATGTTGAACAATTTTGAACAGCATAAAAAGGATTTAAAGTTCATTTTACATTAGGAAATGCGTGCTTGGACTTTGGCATGTCTGCTAAAGAGTCGACACAGTGCGATAACCTTTGTATGAAACTGCTTTTAATACGCCAATTTAAAAAAGAAAAAGTAGCTACGAGGTATTTGCTTTTGGTGCATAGATCGCAAAATATTAAAGCAAAATACATTTTCTTTCTATAATTTGATTTTTATAAATAGCAGTAAGTAATACTGGACTTCTTTTAATACTACACAGTTGCTACATAAAAATGGATTGCATACTAAAAAATTTAGGTAATAATAAAATTAACGATGATAACGCTATTTTGTTACATCTTATCATAAATACAACACAGTGTTGTGGACACGTAATTATCTAAAGAAATCATGTGATTTTCAACTCTATATTGTTGTTTTGAAGTTTATAATCAGTTTTCGTACAGGATGTAGGTATTATATTGTATTCCTCACTTGAGCATTCGAATTCTTTCAGTGTAGATTTGTTATTGGGGACGACGGGTTGTTTATCATGGCGGTTAAGTTGGTGTCAGTAAAGCACTTGTTCAATAAATGTTTAAGAAAAACAGGTGTACGTAAGTTGTCCCATTATCCCATAGACGAACGTATATTTGGATTGACTAGTGAACAACAACAGGTATTTATCTTTCGATTACATATTTGAAAGACGTAATCAAAACGATTAACATTGTTTACTTGAAAGTCGAATTACTTTAGTACATTTTGGTAAATGACGTACATACTATATGCAATATAGGTAATGTAAGTCGTATATTTCAGCTGCGAAAGACAGTGTTCGACTTCGCACAAAAGGAGTTGGCGCCGAAAGCAGCACAAATAGACAAAGAAGACAATTTTAGCGAGCTGAGGGAGTTTTGGAAGAAACTTGGACAACTTGGTGTTTTAGGTAAAATACCTAAATAGATATCGTACATAGACATCGTTTCAACAGAGTATTTATTATAATATTTTTGTGCCACATGAACTTTTAAATGCATTTGCTTTACAGGTATAACTGCCAATCCAGACTATGGAGGAACGGGGGGGAAATATTCAGACCATGTCGTCATTATGGAAGAAATTTCAAGGTAAATTTCAAATCATGTGAATATAAAAAAAGATATTTATTTATGTGAAAGCCTACACGGTACTTTTGGACGCTCTTGGGATACTGGGGTCCCCTAGATAAGATTTCAAAAGTCTCAAGCATTGTTCTACAGTCAATCATCGAAAATATATATTAAAATTTTTCAAATTCAGCAATACGGCAATGGTCTGTAAAATTTTAAAATGTTCATTTCAGAGCTGCAGGTGGAGTAGGTTTATCTTACGCTGCTCACTCAAACCTATGCGTAAACCAAATTAATAGAAATGGAACCCATGAGCAGAAAAGTAAATATTTGCCAAAGGTATGTTGTAGGACTTGCCGGCAGAAGAAAAGCGCAAAAAGCATGGCCGAATCAGGGCTGAAATATACAGTTCATAGAAACCAATCGATAAAGCAAAGCTAGATATGAAACAAATATCACTGATTAATTATTTATTGAAAGCTTTAAGGGTCTTTTTAATGTTGTGAAAATAAAAAATAATAAGTCCTTTAACTCTACATGTATGTTATACATATATATAATTAGATAATATTAGCGCCACCAATACAGGCTGCGAAAGAAAGTTGAAGTCAACTTTTGAAAAAGGATTAATATTGATTTCAGCTTTGTTCAGGCGAGCATATTGGCGCTCTCGCAATGTCTGAACCTGGTGCGGGAAGTGACGTGGTATCTATGAAGACGAGAGCTGAGAAAAAAGGGGACTATTATGTGCTTAATGGAAGTAAATTCTGGATCACTAACGGGTCCGACGCTGATGTATTGGTGGTAAGAATGTAGTAGAAAACGTTTTATTCAAGTAACAAGACTCATACTACTATTGTACAATAGGAGGTTGGGAAGTCTCTTGCGAGCATCAAGCAGTACTGGAAAAAGAAGAGAGTAGATATTGTATAATTTATAACGCCATCTTTTAAAGGAGAAGAAATTTATATTTAATAAAGAACTTAACTGTCTTTTTTTACGATAGTTAGCTTTCCTAAATTACAATCATCGTTTTCTAGGTATATGCCAAAACTGACCAGTCAGCCAAGCCACGCCATGGCATAACAACGTTTCTAATTGAAAAAGACTTTCCCGGATTCTCCATTGCTCAGAAACTAGATAAACTTGGCATGAGAGGGTCAAATACTTGCGAATTGGTATTTGAAGACTGTAAAGTAAGGATCTCGAATTTGTTATACGGTATTTATTCTATTTACCGCAATTCGTACGAGGGACAGGGTCAAGAGCACTTCAAGCTTGACACTTAAGACTTAAATCCAACTCTATGCAGCGTACGATAAGAACGGTCCAAAGTACAAAGTTAAGCTTGACGTACTCTTGACTGTACTATAGTCAATATGTGTATTGGCATTTACAAAAAATTGTAGTGATTAGATTTCTTTAAGAATATAATATATGTATTAACTTCCTCCGTGGCCGAACGGTTATCATGTTGGACTGCCACGCAGAGGTTCCGGGTTCGATTCCCGGGCCGGGAGAAATATTTGTATGGCCTATATTTATTTTTCTCGTGAGTATGGGTGTAATTTGCGGTTGTCTATATGTGTGTCTATAGCAGCGGTTGTCTACGTGTGTGTATCTATGGCATCCCCGATACAGGGTTTCCCTAGCGCGGGGCTATGATTGTGTGCGTTATTATTATTATGATATAATCACTTACATAAATATTTTCTTGCTATTGATATGTGTTATAACGCCATGATTTAAAAATTTTACTTCTATACTCCGTTTCATTGTAGTTGGGTAAGATTTAAATATTAATATTAATTGCCTTTGTCGTAGTCATAAGCAAAAAATTACGTAGCACCTTAATCGTTTTCCTCGTGCATTCAGGTTCCAGAGAAAAACATTTTAGGAGAAGTAAATAAAGGAGTTTATGTGCTCATGTCTGGATTGGACCTGGAGAGATTGGTGCTAGCTGCAGGCTCGATTGGTTTGATGCAAGCTTGCATCGATTCTGCGTTTGAATACGCGCACACTAGGAAACAGTTTGGCAAACATATTGGAGAGTTTCAGTTGTTACAGGTAGAGAATATAACACTTATTGTTTATTATTAACTGCCTCCGTGGCCGAACGGTTACCATGCCGGACTGCCACGCAGAGGTCCTAGGTTCGATTCCCGGGCCGGGAGAAATGTTTGTATGGCCTACATTTATTTCTCTCGTGAGTTTGGGTGTAATTTGTGGTTGTCTATGTGTGTGTCCATGGCACCCGCGACACAGGGTTTCCCTAGTGCGGGGCTATGTTGAGTGTGTGCGTTATTTATATTTATTTATTTAATCTTTGACTTTGACTTTGAATCATTAATGGAACAAGTTATGCGAAAAACAGCCAGATGTAAAAAAGCAGTTTTGAGTGTTTTTTATCATTTTTCATTTTTTTTACAAATGACCATATTTTTGCAGTTATTTTGCATTCAAAATATTAAAAACGAATTTATAAGACCATTTAACTATACAGGTTCTTAAATTCTTAATGTTTTTGAAGACATGAAATTTTTTGTCAACAGCTGTTTTCTGCACAATTACATTATTATTATTAAATACCTTAGTACTGTAAATCACTTAAAGCAGACATCTTTAGCTGCCTGGTTTTTATATATTAGACACGGAGTAATATTTTTGCCTAATACGGATATAATTACTTCAGAAATTGAAAGATGTAAAGATATGTGTGTGTGTTAATGATGAGGATGAAATTATTTTTGTATTTTTCTGAAAGCAACTAAAAGAAATTTTGTGAAAAATATAAATTATAAAAATAAAATACCTAATATAAGTACAAAGCAAAACTTGAAATACGTATTGGCTAGGACGTGAATAAGCTTAAACATTTTGAAAAACCAAATATTTAACCAGAAGCGGAAAAAGTCAAGGAACACATTGCTGCCGTTAAGAACCATAAGCTCAATAAGTCATGTCAGGACCAAGCCACTGGATAGAGCTTCATAATCTCAGAATCCTATTTATACCATAGGTAAAATAAATTTACACTTGAAAATGTCACAATTAAGCTACTGCTCGTTCACTACGCTGACCTCCCTGAGAAGAACGAGCAAGAAACTCTAGGGATTGCTCTTTTCAAATAGACTTAAATGCTATGGAATACACTTTGAATCAAATTTGTGTGGATTCTGGAGCCATGTCGTCTTTCCATAGATCTTTATCTAACACGTAGTCTTCAATTTTGTAATATGATTTTTCAATCAAAATATTTTTAATATTAAACCTTAGGAAATGATAAACTTAATATATGCTCCAGAATCTTATTGTAAAAACATATACAGTTCCCCACAAAAGAGTTGTTTACCTTGGTTAAACGAAATCGTGGTACCATGAGTTTGGACTTAGCTCTAAGGTTAATATTATGGATATCTTCTTTCTTATTGAAATTATGTATATTTTTACGGGCATATAAAATATTTCAGTTATGTACTGTGATGCCACAGTCATGATACCAGTCACCTTAAACTTTTCTCTGAGAGAAACCCGAGAGCCTAGATGGTACACAGAATGAATTGCAAGTTTTTGCAATACAAATATGGTTTGAATATGTGCCGCTTTACCCAACATGAGAATCCCGTAGGACAATATACTATGGAACTAACTAAAGTAAGCTAGTCTAGCAGTACTAACATCGGCAAGCTCACGTATTCTGCGGACTGCGTATGCAGCGGAGCTTAATCTGCAGGCCAGGGAAGATATATGTGGTAACCATTGAAGTATACTATTTAAGGTCACTTCCAAGAAGACTGCTTTATTAACAAGGTCTAACCTTTCTTCGTTTATTCTATGCTTGGACTAGTCGATTTTACGTTAGGTAATTCAAATTTAACACATTTTGTCTTCTTGGCATTAAGCAATAAATTGTTAGTATTAAACCAATAAACTACCTTAGAGAGGGTATCATTAATATGGTCATAGTTAATGTCATGTCTATCTGTTTAAAAAATCAAGAATGTGTCATCAGCACACAACACTATTTCGCAATGGTCCTTATGTTTTGATGATGAGAGATATCCAAATGTAGAGTCAGACAAATAAATAATATTCAGTAAAGATTATTCATCAGTGATATGTGATTGGTTAGTTTCTTAATTAATGGAATAAAAATCCTTAACTTTCTAAATTGTTATACTTAAGCGATTAGATTTCTCAATGTAAACAAATAAAAGAAAAATGTAACATTGCATGAATCAGATAGGGTAATTAAACAAAACTTTCAGGGTAAAATGGCAGATATGTACACAACACTGAGCGCGTGTCGAAGTTACGTTTACAATATTGCGAAAGCTTGTGACGAGGGGCATGTGAACAGCAAGGATTGCGCCGGATCATTTTTATACTGCGCCGAGAAAGCTACGCGAGTTGCTCTTGATGCTGTGCAGATATTAGGTAAATTTGGTTCTACCGGATTCACAATTATGTTAAATATTATATTTAACATAATTGTGAAGATTATATCCGATAATTTAAAAAAGGAAAAGGATTTTGCCTACGGTGATTGAATCAGTATGAACAAGTGGTACAGACCCTATCTAATGATCATTATATGCAATTGTCAGCATTAAGTCATAATGTTAACATAGATTTTTGTGCGGAACATTATGCATATAGTGTACATTGCATTATCCATACAAAGTATAGAAAGTATGTGAGTGAGGTATACTTATCTTGTTTGAAATAAACACTAAGTTACAGAAATGCTTCTTTCTAAACATTTCAGTGAATAGCAACTTATAACTTGTCATATCAATATTCAATTTTTTACATAACAGATATAAAAAGATATGATTTGTATGTTATACAGGAGGCAACGGCTACATCAATGACTATCCCACAGGAAGGTATCTAAGAGATGCCAAGGTCTATGAAATAGGTGGTGGGACATCAGAAGTCAGACGAATGCTCATTGGCAGAGCCATCAATAAAGAATACAATTGATAATTGTTTATTACAATAAAGTTTTACTAACCTGTTGACTTCTATAATCTTCCATCATGATAAACCAATCCTTCATTTTCTAAGCAAGGCTCTTCAATTCCACCAAAAACTAACAGAGAAACTTATAGAGAGGGATTGAACGTAATGCCACCATTTAGGTGGAATATATAGCATTTGCCCAGCCCGTAGCACACAATGATAAGGCTTTGCATTCTTGTATTTAGGATACTTTTCTAAATCTGGTGCTGTAGGATCCACTCTTGCAGTATTATGCAGTAATTCATGTTCATGTGGGTATAAGTTCTCAGAATCTTCAGGGGAAAATAAAAATAGCTGTTTTTCTCCAACTATTTGAGTGAGCAAGTTCTTTTTTGGATCATGATGCAGAGGAGAAATAGTGCCCTTAGGGCCATACCATGCCATAGTATCAACGGGTTCCTCATTGTCAGAAAAACAGCAATAATCTGGCTGCGCAATATCATTTTTTAATTCTGGTATTTGTTGAAATAGCTGATACTGGGCTAAGTAACCAGAAACTTTGTTCTGGCAAATGTGGTTTTTGATAAAGTCTTCAATAGTCATAAGTTTCTGTGTCCAATCTTTATCAGTATAACTGCTTCCAATTTCAATTGACACGGTTCTCATTCCAGCTAACTTTACAAAGTAATTATGGTCTTTCCATTTAGCCAGTGCTGGCCAGTGGTTAAATGTGTTATCCAATATAACAGGTTTCTCTCCAAGGACAACATTTGAGTAGAACTTTGACAAACATGGGAATTGAAGGACTTCAATTGGTATGGCATTCAATTTACTGACATCTACAGCAGCAGTTCCACTTGCGCTGCTGTCTAATGTAAGGCTAACATTTCTGTACACCTTCTCATGGAAGGGATTCAGTATAGTCACACAGTCATGTAGCAAATCAGGCTCTGAATCTAATGGGCAACCAAACACCAAACCGAAATCAATAATTTTAAATGATTCCTTTATAGCATCGTTGGTGAACACATCTGCGCACTTAACGTGACCCAGTAGCTTTAAATATGCAGCCACAGTTATTGTCTTTCTCACGTACTCAGGAACCTCTCTCCAGTTACCAATATGCACTTGTTCATGCATATAATCAATAATTGCTTGTATTTTAAAGAGAGCAGATGAGTTAATTGACTGAATATCGTTTAAATAGCGTTGTACAATAGACTTACATACTACATCCAACTCATCGATTTCTGATAAACTTTCAATAGTTTTCGCTCTGAATTTATCCAGTTTTGTCAATATTTCACTAGACTCCGACATCTTATATTAATTGTTTTTTAAACAATCGGCCTATTAAACTAAGTTATAATGACCAAATTGAGTTTGTTTTGATATAAATTAAACATAACCTATAATTCCTATTTAACATATACGCTCTGGAGTACGCAAAATTTTAATGCGATGACATCTATAAAATCATTGATTGATTTTGAAACGAAATAAAAGCAAGCACCGTTGAATTTTGTTTTTGTCTATGCTATTGTAACGAAAACTTTTAAAATTATAATTATTTATGTCAAATATTAAAATAAGAAGATATAAGAAATAAGTGAAGTTGAATGCAAAATTTTAACGCGATGACCGATGACACAATATAATGTAATGATTGATTGAAACGAAACAAAAGCGAGCTGAGTTTAATGAATTTTGATTTTGTCTATGCTATTGCAAGCAAAACTTTTGCGAATTAGGATTGTATGTACAAATCAAATATTCAAAACTAAACAAATAGGTGAAGTTGTGAATAAAATTAATGTAGCATTTGTAAGTCAATGTGTAGTGACAATATTTTACCAATAAAACGTAAAAACCTTTTCTCATGCATTGTAACCTTGAACTTCACGATGTTCTGAAATTGTTGTCTATGATAAATCATATGACTTTCGCACGTGATCTGTCAGAATTTATTTACGTGAAAAGTATTTCGAAAAGATGAAAATTTGTTTGATGTCTTGAGATAGCCTATTCGAAATTGTAGCAAAATGATGCCAGGTGGATCGGAGGCCAACGTTGTGAAATGTTTGTTGTGACGCAATGGCATTGTTCGATAAACTCTTTGCAAAGAGAAAACTCGACTATGGCAATCACGAGTCACGAAAATGGGACAGGTACGTTGTATTGAATGATTTTCGTTCAATTTTCTTTTGTTGGTTGTTTTTGTGGGTTGGCATGCGGTGGAAAAGTTGACGCACGAAGTTTTTTCTGAACGTTCGATTGGGAGGTGCTTAGAGTGTGGACCTTTGCGGCGTAGGGGCGTACTGACGCACGCGACGCTGGCACTGCGGCGTGCATGTCATGACTGCGCGGGCGCGGGAGCGGTGTGCGGGTACGTCGCGATCGCGTCATCGGAAAGAGGAGCGTTCGCTCAATCAATGTTTACTTATAATTTTACGAAAGCTAGTACACCAGCACATTCCAAGCGATACGGCCGTCATTGTCTTCCGGTCGTGATGTGCATTTAGAGTGATAATTTTGCATTTGTTGGTCAGTGAGTGTATGTGAAGTTAAGGACGATCCTGCCCATATTGTTGCCCAACAGCTGTGACAATATTTTCAAACGAGCATGAAATAAAATGAAATTTAGGTAATTTAACAAGTTTTGATAGTATTTGATGTTGTATGTTCAAATCTATATAGGTTATTGCTGTTTAGGTCGTTAGGATTGTGCACAACGTAATTTGAAGTGATTCTAAGTGGAGAGGAATAAAACTTTCTCTATTCCTGTGAACTTTTTGACAGCTGATTGCTAGGTTTGATTGCAAATCATTAATGTTAAGGCAAACAATGAAAAAATAATTACAGTAATTGAAATGTTTATTACAATATAGTCTCTTATAAGCAATGTAGGAAAGAACAATGGGATTTTGTAAGTAACCTGTGACATAACATTTAAAGAGAAATTTTTCCACTGTGTTTAGAGCAAGTTTGTGAATTTTAATAATGGTGTTGGTTTCCTTCATAAATCCTGTGATATGTCACAGGATTTATGAAGGAAACCTCTACCTACATCAGCGTCTACATCAGAGTATTACATGATTATAACATCGGTTTAATGGTAAAACTCACTTAAAAGCCAAATCGACCAAATGGAGATAATTAAGATTTTGTGTTTTACCAGGGAAGTACTGCCACTTTACCTATTTCTGCCACCAAGCAGTAATGTGAGCATTACTGTGTTAGTATTGAGACAAACATAGAAATAACTCCTTTTGGATGAAAATGAGACTTAATGAGTTTTATCTTTTAACTAACAATTATTATTGTATTTAACCAAGTCCATTCATTTTTGATAATAACAAAAATTTTCATTACTTATTATTCTTGCATTGTTGCATGTAACTAGATTAATAAATAATACTTATTAAATATTTCTTTATAAGTAAAATACAATTATGGTAATAAAACTTTCTGAGTTAAGTATATTTTGTACAGAAATTTGTTTTTACATTTCAATTACAATTCAAATTTACTTTACAAATTATAAGAAAACTGTTTGAAAGACTAATTTAATTGTTAATGCCTATAAATCAGGATTAATGTTATTTATTCAGATAATTTAAAATAAATAATGTATTTTCACAATAAAAGAGTAATTTTCGAGCTTAATAAACTGAAACCTTATAACTTTTGTTTGTTAGTAAATTGTATTTTCTAATATATATATACATAACACAAGAAAATAAATATAGTTAAATTCACTAAAAACAAACTTTAAACTAAATGATTAACATATAAAGTTTGGCCAATGAAAGACGACAACGAGTTAAAAAAAAAAAAACTAGCTGACAACCTTAATAATCATGTCACTTCCATTCTAATCTTATAAGTTAGTGAGACAAGTGTATACAATTTGCTTAACCCTATGTACATTTATAACTTGCTATTTAAACATGCTTATTTCAATAAGTCTTCTATGTAGGTGTTTATTTATATAGAAAAGGGATTTATGCAAATAAATATACATAATTACGTTGAGTTGGTTATAAATATGATAAAATGTCATCACAGTCTCAGTATTTTATACGCTCTTACTTCGGAATTTGCTCTGTAGTGTTGAAAAAATTTTATGGGATTCAGAAAACAAAGTTATTGTGTTCACAGTATTAAACTTATTTTTTCCTATTGCATTTGTGACACTATATTATAAAAGCTTTACATATCGAATTTACCGCGCTTTTCAGTATCTTTCATATTTCATATATCATTTCATAGGTCATATTTCTGCCGTCAAGCGGTAATGTGAGCATTACTGTGTACTGGTTTTGAAGGGTAAGGGTGCTGGTAAACTTACAGGTAGTGTTAACTAGTATATAGTAGTGCCCCTCGGATCTTTGCGGTTAAAAGCTTTGAGTGACTCTGCAACTGCTGTGGACAGGCGTGTTGCTTACAACCAGGCGCGCGACTTGTTCGTCTCGTCACTTGGTACCATGAAAAAAAAAATAACGCCTTTTGCAATGTAAACAATACAAATAGTCGTATATTATATTTGATTTTATTTTACATGTAAGCATACGCCTACCGCTTAGTACATAAGGTATTAATGCTTTGGAAACCTGTTTTCCCTGAGCTTAATAGGCTTATAAAGAATAGTTGATGTCATAAAAATACTATTATAGATTTACCTTAAGACGTCTGAATAAATGTTTATTCCGTTGTGTTGTTAGGACAACACAACGGAATAAACATTTATTCATGCGCACATAATGTTACCTATTTATTAATTAGGATTAATAAATAGGTAACATTATGTGCGCATATTTTTGTTGTTTGTGGTCTTACGTGTATCAAGTGTTTTTTTATTTATTAATCTATGTGCCCACATGGTGGTACACTTTTGTTCATTGACGGCGTGTAACGATTTGGTAGAATGTTGAATTTGCATTTGAATCAGATACTACATTTGATACTAATAGTTGAGATTGAGTTAAACCCGTCACGCGTCCTAAAGACACACGGTGCCTCTTACGATGTTGGAAAAAAATATATATTTATATTTTAATTAATTTAAAAAATGGTGTACGAAAACTAGATATGAGCGCGGGCGTGCCGCCACCGCCGCGTTTTTCCTCGCGCTGCCGCCGACAAGTGCAATCGGCGCGCCGTTCAGTTCGATCAGGCGCTCCGATCTTACGCACGCGCACGCTTCCGTATTGTGTATGTGAAAATGGCGTCGCCAGAAAATGACTTTTCTAAGATAAAACTTTTTTATAAAATGTAAGTTCGCATTTGACCTCCATCTCACCTGATGGAAAGTGACGATGAGGTCGACGATGCACACCTAAATAATGTCTATTCAGTTTCGCCTTGAAAAGGCCCAGGTTATAAAGTTCTGGGAACAAGTCTGCAGGCAGGGAATTCCACTCCATAGCCGTTCGCCATATAAATGTAGAAGCGTAACGCTGCGTGCGAATCTTTGGAATATCCACAACATAGAGGTGAAAACCAAGCCTACGCCTAGTCCCCCGGGGATGGATAGGGAAAAGCGGAATTTAATCGTGTAATTCCATCGCACACTCTCCGTGATATATCCTGTAAAATACCGATAAGCTGGCAACTTTACGGCGGTGTTCAAGGCTCCGCAGTTTCGTCTCCACTAATTCCGAGTCACCAATAAGTCTCTTAGCACGCTTGGCTATTGAATCCAAGGTGGCCAGTTGGTATTAAGCAGAGTCATCCCATAAGTGGCAGCAGTACTTCATACACGACCATACTTGTGCTTGGTACAGCTGATGCAACAGTCCCGGTGTGATGTAACGCCTCATCCTGGAAAGGATCTCAAGCTTCCTTGCTGCATGTTTGGCCATGGATTCAATGTATCTGCCGAAGTTCAAATTGGACGACAGGTTCATTGCAAGTAGCTGGAGACAGTCCGCCATCAGCATGGATATATCACGAAAAGTCGGAATCAGCTCAAAGGGACTCCGTTTTGTGGAGAATAGAGACGCCTGCGTTTTGGTAGCGTTAAATTTGACAAGATTGGCATCGCTCCAATCGGAGACTGCCTTGAGTGTTAAATCCAAACGGCTAACCATGGACTCTCGACAAGACTGGATTTGTAGACAGTAGGAACCCAGAGGAATCTATCGCCATTTGTTCGGAAGGGAGTAGCCTTCTAAGACCACTCGAATCGAAAGTTCGCTCAAGAAATCCGAGATCCAATTGGGTCAGTGGGACCCAAGTGGGCAAAGGTCAGTGGGAAGCCCATAAGAGGGAAGCTTACTTAAAAGGCTTGCGTGTCAGACCCTGTCAAAGGCTTTAAAAATATCCAAAGACACTGCAAGTGCTTCACCTTGCTTTTCTGTAGCCTCGCTCCGTATGTGACAGGCATACACAAGAAGATCCCCAGTTGATCGCTCTCGTCGGAATCCGTACTGGCGATCATTGAGGAGGTCGTTGTCTTCAAGGTATGACAGGAGACGGTTGTTGAGTACACGTTCCAGTCTTGCAGAGTATGGAAGTAACTGAAATAGGTCTATAGTTGACAGAGTCAGCTCCTCTGCTTCCCTTTTTCCGCACAGGTTGCACGCTTACAAGCTTCCACGACCTGGGAACTACACCAGTCTGAAGTGAAAGGCGGTACAGGCGTACGCGTATGAGAACAGGAGACAACTCAGGCGCACAGTTACGTAGCCCGCTATATTTATTCACGTCTAGATTCCGCAGAGTTCTTAAGTACCTCTTTTTTGTACCGCTTCGGACAAGGGACCAGGAGACGAAGCGGAGAGGGGTGCTGCGTTGCGTAGCAACGGGCGTTCGTTGTTGCGACACCGCATTGCTCGTGTGGCACTCAGTTAGTCCCCGCACACCATCGCTCTTATAGGCACCGTGTGGTTCGTCCACAGTACCAAAATAATTTGGACACCGTCTGTCTCTACAACGCGTGACACGGATTGATAAACTGTTATATTGGATACTTCAATATGAAGCAGCAACACAAATAAGATCTCTAAGCTCCTCCACCTGGAGAGTAATTTTATGACCTTTTAACTTACAACACTCATTAAATGTTTTTATGATAAGCTTTAACATGTAGGGTTAACTTCGCGATATTAATCATTTATTTAGGAAATGAAGCTATTTTTTCGTTTTAAATCGCGTATATTTGTTTTTTGAAACAAACCAGTGTTTCGGGCCATTTACAGGTCTCTGGTCACGGTTGACATTGATTTAAATCCGGAAAAATAGTTTCATTTCCTATGTGTAACAATCACGAAAACCTATGAACTCGATATTAATAATTTATTTCCAACTTTTGTTAAGTAAAAAAAAAAATAGTCTAAATATAAGGAAAGTACGAATACATATTGCACTTTCGATTTGGAATATCGGCTTGATACACAATCAGTTTGTGCTAGTATGAACCAATATATAATTCAATTCCCGATTTTAGGTATTCCTGAACGTCAAACCTAAAAGTTTGACATTGATTATCCCACGAATGTCCTCCACATTTGGCTATAATGTTATTTTCAGCTATGCGCTTAATAAACTAGTACGTATCTTGTCAATAGGTCCTATCAGATAACGCCGGAGCAAGTGAGGCTGCTTCTGTTCAAAGAGTGCGACTGGCGTGGCAGGAAACTTTTATTTGATTCATCCACGATTGACAAAGTACCCGCTAGCAAGAATGACAAGGCCATCAGACAGCCTGACGATGCACCCTGCATCGTGGAGGTTGCAAATGGATACTCTTATGTGGTGAGTGTTACATTCTAATACGCAAAAACAATAGGATTAAGTCGTTACGCATAACTCTATTTTTTTTATAACGCACACACTCGTAGCCCCGCACTTGGGAAACCCTGTATTGCGGATGCCATTGATACACACATAGACAACCTAAAATTAAACTTATAACCTAAATAAATGTAAGTCATAAATTAGGGATGCACGATTTTTTGGATTGTAATGGATCATATGCCTCTGAATCGATCCACAGATCGGATCGTATGTTCTCGAATCGATCTCATAAAAATCGTTTTAACATTAATTTCGATAAAAAAATTTGACAGCCTTTCAAGTCGGTTACGACTTTCATTTAGAGTGAAATTAGTCAGTAAGAAAAGACTTTCAGATGTCACAGAAGTAGCGACAATTGCCATATACTGGAAGACTTATTGTACTTAGATGTTGCCAAATTGCGTTTCTTGCAGGCCAATATAAAATAGTATTAGTACTAGTAGCTACTAGTAGTACTAGATTAGTAGTAGTAATAGTAGACGCTTTAATTTTGAATCGATTTACTTAAAAAATCGTATTGAAATGATCGTATACACTTGAATCGATCTTTTTAAAAATCGAATCGTAACATGCTTCCTTAATACAAATATTTCTACCGATCTGGAATCGAATCCAGGACCTCGGTGTGACAGACGAGCATGGTAACCGTTCGGTCACGGAGGCAATTATTGTCCTGTACTTTAGTCCTATCGACTTATTTGTATTACTAACGCAAGTTTAAAAAACAAAACGCGTATGTCACGTCTAAAAAAGATCTCTCCTAAAAGAGGTTCGTAACAACTCTTTGTCTTTACGCGTTAGCATAGTAACATGATGCACGGAATGAGCCTCATGTACAATTCTTCTTTCGCGCAGATACAACACTTGTTACGATGGACTAGCGAAATTCACCCGCGTTGATCCTCTTCATTTGTCGCTAAATTAATTTACGAGCTATTTCTTAACCACGGAAGTAACAAGTAGACTCCTTAGGTAGATTTAATTATGAGGTGTGTTGCTCATGGAAATTACGCCCATGCGACAGCAACATGTACGTATGAAATGATAATGAAAATAACTACGCGAGTCTACGTGAGTCAAAAGTCATTGATCTGTTAGTTATAGATCGGATTCCTTATAATATGATTTCAATTAAAGTTGTAAGTTTATGGCGTATCTTGTGCTCTCGCCAATGACGAATTTATTTTTCTAAGATTTAATAGTAGCGTCGCTAATAAGCATTGTAATTGATAGTGTTTATGACGTGTTGCCGATAGCCCTATCACTAATAAGTTTCATCGAACTTTACCTAAATTTTTTCATTGTCAATATATCCAATTTCCGGCTTCACTTTCAAATTTTTGAGGGTTGAAGAAGACTTTGGTTGTGTTTGGTTTGGGTGTGGTTATTCTTATTTTTATCTTTTTTCATTTTGCCAACAACACTGCTCAGGGCGGTTTTTACTTTTGAATATTGCTAAAGTAAAAAATAAAACGAGAATAGGAATAAAAATGATATACACGTACAATTATTTGTTATTCATAAAAGAGCACTTATTTACCAAAATTAGCTTAAAAAGTCTCGTATATAATACAGTTTTCCACTCCCTTTTGAGCGATGTTGTTTACGTAATAAACTATTTTTCCTTCTTTCAATTTGACATTAGGTTGTTAGTAAATGGACAATGTCCCAGTACCAGCGACATTGGTAGGGTGGTGGTAGTCATTGCATATGTATATATCTATATATTTTAGTGGCAATACAGCTCCTTGTGAAAGAGTTCATCCAGGGTAGTACTGCTACCTTACCTATTTCTACCGCCAAGCAATGATATCAGCATTGCTGCTTGCCGGTACAAATAGGAAATAGGTTTTGAAGGGTGCTGGTGAAATTACAGGCACATGGGACTTGTCAACTTATGACTCAGTGTGACGGGCACACTGGCAGTGCCCCTCAGATCTTTCCGATTTAAAGCCCTGAGCTCTGCAACTGTTATGGATAGGCGTGTAGCTTACCATCAGGCGCGCGACTTATTCGTCCAGTCATTTAATATTATAAAAAAAATCTGTTTTCAATGAGTTAACCACTAAGTGTTGGGACACTGTGGGCATTGTATCGATCTACAGAAAAAACGTCTTTTTTTTGTTTACTTACTGTCAAATACAAAGAATAAGCATTATTTTAATGACTACGCGGCCTGTGTGGATGACGGAGGTGCTTTCTTTTGAAGGATATGAGCGGCTTATATTAAGTCACATGATTGTAATAATGCGTCGTTTGTTATTCAGATGTGTCAACGTACGCATTTAAAATCATGATAATTCTCCATTTGACCAGATAACAATGTTACGCTCCAGTTACTATTTAAAGATTCAAAAACATGTGACAAGATTGTATGCCATATACGTCACAAAATGTTTGGAGAGATAACAACTTATTTGTCCTTTTTATATCACGTTTCAAAAATTTCGTGACAATTGATATAGCACGCCATATCGAGCCTTTCGTTCTCGCAATTATGAGCTTATTCGCACTCGTTGTTCTAAATTTAGACCACTTTAGAAGTTAGCCTTCTTGATTACAGCCACTGGTTGTAAGTGGAACTAATCAGACAACATTGTGAGACTGTAATTTTAGCTTCATTCAATTAATGGGGCGTCACGTGTTTTTGTACTGGTGACAATTGAATCGGGCTATATTTGCTCGAGTCATCATATGGCCGCAGTGAAGAAATTTTCATAAGTTCTCACAGGTGACGCTATGGCAAAAAATGACGTTTAAACCCAACACAAAGATCTGCAACAAGCACATTGAGAAATGTCAGCTGCTAAGAGCGGTAGCCATGTTGAGGCGACAAACGTTGGTTCGAGTTCAGTCAGATTTTTCTTTGTGTGTGTGTTGTTCGATATTTGTTTCAATAATAATTTGGAAGTAGTTTGTTAATTGTTTTTTTCGTATTTATACGTTTTAGCAATGTGATAATAACACTGACAAGTTGTCTGTAGTTTTTACCTGCTTAATTTTCAAGCATATTTCGTATAGTGATGTTAGCTCAATTGTAACAGAAAACGCAATCAAACTCCATACCAAACGTAGAAACCGGATTGTTGATAGTCAATATGTAAAATACAGTCCACTAAGCAGTTGATAATAATATTCTTTTTTAAATCAGTTAAAAAAGAATACCTTAACTATAAATTTAAAGGTACAGTCATATACATGAGATACCTTTTTGTTTTTTTTTGCTCAAACCGATCTTTTGGTTCTGAGAGCCATCTTACGTATTGGACAAAGAAAAAATTAAAGCAATTTCAACTTTATTAGCATAAGCAATACAGTGGAGTGTTGCTTGAAAATGATCAAAATATTTTAAAAACCAATACTAAGTTTCGTCACTTAACATCCAAGTAAATATTACTTTCGTCTAGTACCTAAACCATAAGTTTACCAAGGAGGCTATTTTTACACTTGCAAGTTACACATTACAGAGCCTATAAAGTCCAGTCCAAAACCTAGAACTTATTTTATGTAACTTGTTTTCCTTTCTATCACCCAGTATAATCCTGCACAGCTATAGTAACTTTTATAATTTTTATAATAATTTATGGTATCAAGTGAGGGCGCGAACAAGTCGTGCGCCTGATGGTAAGCTACACGCCTGATCATAACAGTTGTAGTGCCACTCAGCTCTTTAAATCACAAAGATATGAGCAGTATACCTCATATCTTGTGCCCATCACCGCCGCTGCGCCCATCACCCTGAGACATAAGTTGATAAGTCCCATGTGCCTGTAATTTCACCAACACTCTTACCTTTCAAAACCGGAACACAGTAATGCGGCAGAAATAGATAGGGCGGTAGTATTTCCCTGAACGAACTCTTTCACGAGGAGCTCTACTGCTACTAAATAGCCTAGATTAAACTATTTTTTTTCTTTATTAGTTAAGTAACTAGTTAGTGCAAATAAAGATATAAGAATTCCATAAAAGTTTCCATATGCTGTCACTATTACTTGTGATTATCATTGCTTAATTACCTCGATAAACAGTGAAATATGATTATGATATTCCTACTACCAAACTTGTATTAGTTTGTTCGTTGTTTCTATCAAATACCAGATGCGAAAATAAGATAAATCGAGATGAGTCAATATCCTATTTTTTTACTAAACTCAAATGCGTACAAGTGACGCGATAACCTGATAAATATTTTATAAAGGCTCCATCATGTGATCTAAAAAAAAAATTGGATTTTAGATATTCGTTCGCTTATACATAGGGTGCACTGTAAGTTTCCGGAACTGGCCACTTACATAAACAATATTTAAAAAGTAATTACAACATTTGAAAATGGAACTCTTTGGCTGTAGAGTACAGTTTGTTTCATCTGACTGTCACTTGTTTTTACATTGTGGCATCATTTTAGAAATTGGTTGTCTACATCACCATGGATTTAACTCGTGAAAATTTTCGTACTATGATTTTCTACGACTTTAAGTGTAATTTAACAGCTCAGCGGAGCTTCGCAAGACGACTATTTATAGCTGGTTTGCAGAATTCAAACGCGGTCGTGTGAATCTCAGTGACGAATTTCGTGATGGTCGCCCGTCCACTGCTGTGCTCAACAAAAACATCGATGCGGTGCGCGGTATGATCAAAACAGACAGGCATGTGACATACCATGAGATTCGGGCATCTTTAGGCATAGGCATGAGTCAAATACAGTCAATACTACACAAACATTTGGGTGTGAAAAAGCTGTGCTCTCGGTGGATTCCACACAATTTGACTGAGGCTCATAAAACGGATCGCGTCACTTGGAGCAATGACATGGTTACCAGATTCAACGAAGGGAATTCAAATTTGGTATGGGACAAAGTAACAGGTGATGAAACATGGATTTATAGTTACGATCCCAAAGCAAAGCAGCAATCGAGCGTATGGGTCTTTCAAGATGAGCTGAAACCAACCAAAGTGGTGCGCGTGCAAGTGCCTCTTAGCGGATGATTGCTTCTTTTTTTTATAAAACTGGACACGTGGCTACTGTTGCTTTAGAGAATTGTTGTACCGTGAATAGTGATTGGTACACGACCATTTATTTGCCGGAAGTTATTGACAAACTCCCTAAAAATAACCTTAAACGCCGTATCATTTTGCACCACGATAATGCCAGTTCTCACACGGCCAGACAGACAAATGAATTTTTGAAGGTGAACAACGTTGACCTTATGAGCCATCCCGCGTACAGTCCCGACCTGGCACTTTGTGATTTTTATTTATTTCCAAAAATTAAGAACCAGTTACGCGGTAAACGATTTTCGTCACCTGAAGAGGATGTCGTAGAGTATGAAAAATACAGAGACCTCAGTCAAAAAAGAATATATTTATTTTTTTGACTGAGGTCAAAATATAATATATTTCATTGGCTTTAGGATAGTGTTTTGTATATTTTTTTTAAATTTTAACTCAAGTTTTTTTTTTATAAATCATTGAGATTATTAATCATACATAATAAGATACTTCATAATTCGAATTTAGGTTCGAACTACTAACTCCTAACCTCTGCATATTTTAAGCTTCGTAAATTCATAGACAATATTTTATTTTTGGCACCTAATTGAAATTAGTATTTAGTCTAAATACTAATTTCATACAATACAATTTCAAGTAATTTAAATTTGGCTTACATTGCTACTCGGCGTCAAATATTAAATTATATTACGAATTTGTCTCGGATGTGTTTCCAGAATCCCGGGAACCCAAGCTTAGTGTTTGAAGAATAAAGTTTTTCCGACTACTCAAAATACGTAGAATAAAAGTTCTTATCGTAGAATAAGAATAATAAAAATTTTTTTTTTTGGTGTATGGTGTACGATTACTCCGACATTTGTGAATGAGTTTCGATGATTCTTTGTTTGTTGGAAAACTGAATCACTAGTCAGTCCCTTTCAAATTTGAAGAAAATATTCTACCTCTAAGGATGGTCAGTTTTTATTTTATAAATAAAAATAAAATTATTTAAAACTGCACTTGTTCTCATTTTAACGTATGTACTCACATAGAAAGTGCTATTCATCTCTTGGGTACATTTAAAAAGATAAAATATTCATTATAATAAACATTTGTTAACAAGTCTCGACTCTAGACGAATTCCACTTCCTAAATATAAACATATATCAATAACCAGCATTGTTAATCTTAAACTGATGAGATTTATTGGAGCTCCTCGTAGGCGGGATAAAATATTTTATTTTCGGCCGATGTGTGAGGAAATTCGTTAACTGTTCAAGGCTGTGATTAGTTTAGACATCTATATAATACAGATAAACTTTCTGCTTTTGAATATGGATAGCAGTAGAGCTCGTTGTAAAAGAGTTCGTTCAGGAAAGTACTGTCACTATACCTAGTTCTGACGCCAAACAATGCATTACTGCGTTCCGGTTTTGAGAAGTAGAGGTGTTGGTGAAACTATTATCAAATAGGCTTTGTTAATTTTTAGTGTCAGGGTGACCGGCGTAGTGGCAAACCCCCTCAGATCTTTGCGATATAAAGTTAAGCTCTGAATGGCACGACTTGTTCATCCCATTACCTGATATCATAGAAAAAAGATTATCGTTAAAGATTATCGTTTCTTTTGAGTACAGGTCTCCTCGGTCCTGTGTCTATTTTTGACATTTTCTGATGCATATATATCACTAAACATTCTTTTGACTGGGGATCTCGGGGCTGTGGTACGATTAGACATCTATATATCACATTTAAACGTTGCGTTTTTTGAGTGCCAATAGCTTCATAGCTGTGTTCAATCCAGAGAATTATTCAATCTGTCCGGGGGTCGATTTTATGGACAAAAACTCCTTAAGGGTCGGTTCTCTTGCCTATTCTCAGATATCTACCAAATGGATTCACAGACTCATATGGGCAAAATTTTTAAGGTAAGGAAATAAATAAACTAGTTAAAATGACAACAAAATAATATAAACAATACTTGTTATGCTTTCTTATAACATCAAGTGACGGAACGAAAAGTCTGTCCATAACAGTTACAGTGCCACTCAGAGCTTTAAATTGCAAAGATCTGAAGGGCATTATCACTGCGCCCGTCACCCTGCGACTTAAGTTGACAAGTACCATGTGCCTGTAATTTCACCAGCACCCATCAAAACCGAAACACAGTAACGCTAACATTACTGCTTGGCGGCAGAAATAGGTAAAGTGAGAAAACTCACAAGAATTCACAAGAAAGGGAAAAGGATGAATAAAAATATTTAAATTTTTACAGGCTTTTTTTAAATACCAGAGACGTTTAGTTTTTGATCGACAAACTTGACCATAGTTAAAATTGTTATTATTACACTCTCGCACAAATTGTATGTATAGAGATCTCAAACTTGTATTCCGTTTAGAAATTTAGCACACTTGCATACTGCATTCATTAAGGCGTAGTCGTATTATACAAGTCGTGAGTGTTGCATTACCGTTAGTTAAATTATGTTAGAAAACACACTGCAATTTTGTTATTGTATTTCTGTCTGTTTCTAAGATCTTGCATACTTTTTAGCCTCGCGTTACGAGATATACTGCCCTCTCTGTCATAACTAACACATTTACATTTCCATATTTTTCGAGATATTGCTACCAAATTTTTTTTTTAATAAATAATGTCAATTATGCTGTCTTTGCTCAATAATGAAACTGAAACTAAATAAGATATAAAAAAAAAACCTATTAGTTGGGGTTGCACATCCCGCTTCGGTAATCCTGAAAAATGTCGATTACGTTAGTTATATTAAGAAGGGTACAATTGTAGTCACTACACTTTTGAGTCAAGGAAATGGCCACTTCCAACGAGACTAAATAACTAATGACATTCACAATTAATTTATTTAAACAGCTTTGTTGTTTTTACCTGTGACTTGTTTTTATTTTACAATTTTTTATTATTATTTTAAGTTAGCTCATGTTTGTCCACAATCTTCCTTTATGGAATTTGGCATCGCTCCACTCGGATACGGTCTTAAGGTTCAGTTCAAGTCAGTATTGTTGCTCTGACTATCAATCACAGTGGGATTCTTAATTGGCAAACATCTAGTATAAATTTGAGGAAAAAATACATAATTCCATTTAGATTTGAATTTTCTAGTGACGTAAGTAAATTATTTTGATTATTGATACTATTCATACAAAGATCGAACAAACAAAAAGAAAAGTTCCTACAATCCGGCTGGACTCGAGCTAGGGATTGTTTGCTAAACCGGGGCTACACTCTCCCAACTGTGCTACGCTCTCCCAACTAAGCTACGTTCTTCCAACTGAGCTACGCTCTCCCAACTGAGCTACGCTCTAACAATTGAGCTACGCTCTCCCAAATGAGCTACGCTCTCGCAACTGCGCTACGCTCCCCCAACTAAAGCTACGCTGTCCCAACTGACCTACGGAACGAGAATAGAATAGAATCTTTGTTCTTAGGGTTAAACGGCTTTTTTAACGTATCGCCACCAGTGATAAACGTATGAAACTTTTAATTTTTTTTTTCAAAATTACCTCCATTAACGCGCACACTGCATCCGATTCGTATTCGTTCCGAATGCAAGATTATACAAATCTAGAAAATTCGGATCCACTTCGGATGTCGCTTTGTGCACTAAGTCCGATTCAAATTCGAGAAAACACGAATATCGCTTGTACACCTGGAGATAAAATGACTTCGGCCACCTGTGATATTTCGGAACGTCATTTCTCGGATTCAGAACTGATACGAGTCGGACGTAGTTCGCAAACGCTCTTATTACTGTTATAAATAGATTCCGTAATAGGCAGAATATTTATTTACCTAAACCTACACTATAACCATAATACACATAGAGTCTCTACTTCTCTACCTCTCTATTTCTAGCTCTGAAATCTCAGTATGATTAAAATGGTAAGAAATCTAAATATTTATGAATTTTTACTTATTATTACAAAATTTTCTTAAAAGTAATTACTAGTGATACATCAAAAACAATACACAAAATATGATACAATAATTCCGGGATTTTAATAGGAGATATTACCCCTCTCTGGGTAATACTTCCATGAAGCTTAGTCGAATATACACTGCCAATTCCGATCTCTTCCTATAATAAGAAACCAATAGTAAGATAAGTTGCATAGACATTAGTTTCGATTTATATTAAAGAAGATTCGAGAGAACTATCAATACGCAATACATTTCCGGACACACTATTCGACCCCCCGTGCATTTTTATTTTTAAACGGCTAGTATACAAAATTATTGTTATCATTGAAGAAAAGCTTTCCCGGTTGTACAAATTAAAATTTTCAACAAGGACTTAATATGGATGTGACGTTTAGTCTACCAGTTTCAAAATTGTATCATAGTTTTTGAACAATGAAACATTTTTTATACTTACAGCATTTAATACTGAAAATGCAAGATGGCTCGAATTACGTTTCTGGGAGTATATTCACCGACTATAAATATATACATTTCCCTACTTGGTTAAATTAGTACTTGATTAGTTTTAAAATAATAATTATTTTTTCCCCTTGTCCAGTATAAGGGACCAGCAACAGATGCGAGCGTACTCGGTGAGATGATATTTGGAGCTGTGGCCATGAACTACAAGGGCGTCTCACTGAAAATTCACATTATGGAAGAACCTAGAAGGTAAACATTACCTTTGTGTTAAATCAAGAGATTCATTATAATAAAAAAACATACGTGTGATGTTTTTGTAAGGTAAACGTGACAAAAATGAAATTCAATAAGTCCTAATCGAAACAATTTTTCCGGAACTGTTCAGTTACATCTAATATTCATGCAAACCATCATATTCTGAACTACAGTTACAAAAGTTATTAATTTAAATAGGTAATATAAACCGTATTTTTAATTTACAATAGCAAATCAAATTTAGGTTTGTATTTCATAGGTCTGGGTTTGTCTAAATAATCAAAGGACGCTTGTGCAATCGAACGGTAATAAAATTTAATCATAATAACATTTATTCTATCAAAATTGTCAATTTCAAATAATAACCTACTTGTAATTACGTTACCTAGCATCGTTTTTTGTTGACATTTCCTGATTCCACTCGTACTTACTTTAGACGTTTTTTACTCTAGCAATAGGACTACCTACCCACTGTACAATTACTTAGGTCTGTCACGCGTTCTAGAGATACGCGGTGTTCCTAACGGTTTTGGTACTGTAGCATCCTAGAGTCAAACGACATCTCTAATGCGCAGTTGTGTTTTCATCCACCATAAATAATAAAGATGTCGAGTTCTTAGGTTTTCGCGATTGTTACACATAGGAAATGAAACTATTTTTCCTATAATAATAAAGATGCTTCATTTTTTTGCTAAAAAATGTCTAGTCTAGATTCTACGACCCGTAACAGGTTAAGTAAACATTTGCTGTAATAATTTTGTACTATAAGGTATATTTCCTCAGGGTAATAGTCTTGAGGGAGACTACAGGTACATGCACCTGTCATCCTGAGACATGAAGTTCACAAGTTCAACTATACATCTCATGGTGACGGTCTTTGCAGTTTAAAGCTCTGAAGTGGCAGTGATATAGTGTTCGTCCTGTCACACTATATCATAAAAAATGTGATGGTTTACCGTGAACCGTGAACCGTGAACGCACACACTCAACATAGCCCCGCACTAGGGAAACCCTGTGTCGCGGGTGCCATGGACACACATATAGACAACCACAAATTACACCCAAACTCACGAGAGAAATAATTGTAGGCCATACAAATATTTCTCCCGGCCCGGGAATCGAACCTGGGACCTCTGCGTGGCAGTCCGGCATGGTAACCGTTCGGCCACGGAGGCAGTCGGTTTGATATCGATTAAAACGTACGTTTTTTTTCAATAGGTTAATGTGTGCGAAAGTGTTCTGTGTACCAACTTCGCATCGAATAAGTCGCGTGGATAGAAAAATAAGTGAAGTAAACAGTACAGAAGACATACGACGTTATTCGACGCCTTTAAACGTGCCTGCGTTAAGAGAGGAGGGTGTAGAACTGAGTTTTACACTCGATCGAGGAGATTCAGGTTTGTATGTTATCTATAATTGCTCATTTTATGCACAATGTGTCATATGACGGTTGGTTGAGAAAAAGAACAGTAGCTATACAATGATATTTATATGGTACTAAGTAATATGCCTAGTGGAATAGGGTTGTTTTTGAAGTAAACAACATATTATATCAGAACGGTGAATATGGCGAGTTACAATAACGTTATGCTGACTGACCCCGTTGTCATGGGGGTTACGCTGAATTTTCATTTAGAGTAGTTACACGGCGACTTTAGAAGCGTTGCAAACGCGATGCAGTAGCGATGTAGTCCGTGATCGTCTACCTTTACACGCGCGCGCGATTCTAAACTGCGATGCAAGCGCGCGACTGCATCGATACACTTGGGATTTATAGGCGATTACACCGATGCGATCGCGCATTTGTATCGATCAAGTCGCGTGTTTTTGAATCGACGCAATGCAATCGCGTTCGCATCGCTGCTAAAAGTCACCGGGTGTAACCACTCTTAGATTACACATTATTATTTTTGGTAATTTGTTTTGCTTTTAATATTCAATCTGTTTTTATTATTATTTGATTTTTACTGCAATTAAGTATACTTAATTTATATCTACTATAATTCTTTAAAACAACGTTACATTTTTTACCTACTTAGAAAAGACAATTGTAATTAATGGGACATTTTGAGATTAGCCAACTGTTGATAAAGAAGATAGATAATATATAAATACTAAGGATAACCCATCTTGATTGTACGCAAAAAATGGCATTGATATTCAACGGGTTTGTGGATTTGTGTTTAGTTTGGGTTCGTTCGCATTAGTTCCATTACTTAGTTTCATTGACGAACGACTGCGGTGGAACTAGTCGGAATATCACGGTCCATCACTGAGATAATACAATGGAAATAAGTTGAATGAACATTAATTTAGTTTGTCGTTTTCATATTGACAAAAATAACTTTCGTACAAAACAATGAGCCTACGCTAACGACTTGTCTGTCCAAGAAAACAAAAACAAAAGCCAAGTTTAATGCGACTTCTGACATGAGTCACGAAAACAATTGTCGTCGACAGATGACGCAGGTAAAGTCGACCTAAAGGGTCGTGGATGACCGTTAAATTTACATAATATATGTAATATATTTACGAAGAAATATAAGAAGTTAAATTTTTGGGAACCAAATAAATATTATTAAAAAAGAAAATACAATATAGTTAAGAGCACATTAAGTTTGACACTTTGGACCGTTCTTATTGTTATTATTTCCTTAATGGTGGCACTAGCTTGAGCCAGTGTCACTTTCGATGTATGTTGTCAATGGTTAAAAGTCATAAAAAACGCCAACGTTTAGGCAGCAGCAAGATATCTTAGCAGTAGAGCTCCTTGTGAATGAGTTCGTCCAGGGAAGTACTGCCACACAGTAATGTCAGCATTACTTTGTTCCGGTTTTGAAGGGTAGGGGTGCTGGTGAAATTACAGGCACATCGGACTTGTTAACTTATGTATCAGGGGACGGGCGCAGTGGTAGTGCGCCTCAGATCTTTGCTATTTAAAGCTCTGAGTGGCACTGCAACTGTTATGGACAGGCGTGTAGCTTATCATCAGGCGCACGACTTGTTCGTACCGTCACTTGATATAATGAAAAAAAAATTGGAAGAGCTCTTCGACGGATTGCTATTGTGGAGATCATACCTGAAGTAAAATAACGGTCATGGACAAACAACAAAATAAAGCATAAAATTATTAGAGCGTATAAAATCACACGAAATCTTAATAAAGGGAGAATACACATAAAGAAGAAGGGATTTAAGGTTAATAGGCCGGGATACATAGGGAGGAAAGAGGTCATACAAGGAGGAAGTCAACTTAAGACATTCAAAGAAAATGTGATCAAGCGATCCAAACCACATCCATACAAAGATATCTAACACAAAGTTTGTAAAAACACAAGGGAACAGGAGTGGCTTAATCTCAGCATGCAGATCGTTAAAGTAGCTGCTTTACTAGCTTCGCGAAACTTAAAAAAAAAACCAAGGTTTCACTGGGATGCTATGTTGAACGTCGGCATGGTGCGTCCGTTTCTCTCACAAGAGAACTTTGAAATTAAATCTTAAGTGTTAAACTTGATGTGATCTTGACATTGTACGTAGCATTGGCCAAATGATTAAAATAAATTTCATGTGAAAAAAGATATATTACTTTTGTTATACGTCATTATATTTGAATAAGTTTTATAATTTCATCATTTTATACAGGGGATAATATGTGACATATCAAAATGCTCCACATGCTTCGGTCGAGCGCGGGTCGGCATAAGCTGGAGAGTTATAAAATGTGATATATACATAATTTGTTCCACGTAGTTCGTATTATTTTTATGACTTTCATGCGATAATACTACTTTTGGCGTATGTTCACATATGGCTTAATTATACCACGGGTGCAATGTTATCCCCGAATCATAATAAAGTAGAAAAATATTTGTATTATTATAATACAATTAATTCCCTAGTTTGAGATCTAATGTTGTGGTCTGACATTAAACGAAGATTTGTTTTTCAGGTTTCTGTGGCGACCAATCATCGTACGGCAGCGTGGGGTCTATGTGCGATTACTTCTCCATGTTTGATATCTGGGATAGAAACAATAATCAAGAAGACTTCTGTTTTCATTGTGAGTATCTAATCGCTTTTTTATCGTGTCGATGCTTCTTTTATTTTAGGACTATACTAACTAACTGCATTAGTATGTTATCATCTTCATTAAAATGATTAAGCCATTATATACGTATATATATCCCTCTCGGACGAGGGTTTAGGCTGCCTTTCCACCAGAGATGTGCGAGGTAGCGAGGTGGTGCGAGGAGTACGGTGTGGTGGAGGGAGCGGTGGCGATGTGTCAGTGTCAGTTAGTATCATACTTTCAGTAGCTCTAATAAAGCAAAATAAAGCAAAAGTTGATTATGATATCATGGTTTCATTGTAACGGCAGAATAAAAGACCTTTCCAAAAAAATATCTCACTATGTTTACGAGAATAAGATGATATGTAATTATTATCTTCGCCACTCGTACTATTGCAACCCGTAGAATAAATGATAAGTCAACGGTGCAACACTTCTTTCGGCTCCAACACAACGAGAATAATATGATAATGCCCAATATAAATCCAACATGATGATTGATTTTGACTAATCATTTATTATTGAAATATCTCCATTTTGGCTTAACTTACGGCTGGTTCATTTATATAGAATGCACAAAAAATATTCTTTCCTTAAAGCTATAATTTACCTACGTTTAGTATGTAAAAATTTATCAATGAAAACATGTTTTTTATTTTTCCTGAAATATTACTTTGTTGCGATTATCATTTTGTTCTCCGGGGATAGCGAAGTATTGTATTGATGGTATGTATTGTTCTACACAGCACCACCGGGACGCAAACTGAGCACATCAAGCAACGGTAGTTGGCAGCGACGAACTTTTCAGAACATGGCGACAAAGTTCGAGCTGGGCCGTCAGAGTTCGAACCTACTCAGCGTCCCTACTGCCAGCAGCAATGTTACTAGTAACGATTCACAAGTTAGTACATAGCTTGTACTTGCAGGCTACCTATTTGTATGATGTATTTTGTATTTTTATGACAACGAGTACATAATATAACTGTGACATAAAATTGACAACTCCCTTGTGCCTACAGTTCTTCAAAGTCGGAACGCAATAATGCTCACGACTTAGCGGCAGAAATAGTTATGGTGGTAGTACATCCATGAATGGACGGCCTCTTTCATACGGAGTAGAGCTCCGTATGAAAGAGGCCGTCCATTCATGGACGCTGCTAAGAGTGTGTTTCTTGTTTCGTGGAATCTATGTTTGTAGCTGCATTGACATGTTGTTTATTGCATACATTCTGTACCTGTATGAATTTCTCAAATAGATATCGTATACAATAGATGTTCAAACGAACTTCTTGAAGTGAAGTTCGATCACTATTATGTGAGTCGCTTCATTCGAAGATATAATATTTAACTAGGTAGTTTCCTTAATTTGCTAGGCAACACCGCACGATTGTTAAGAAAAAAAAATGTTTTGACGTTGACACTCCCTACCAGGCATCAACCGCCATTTTCTATCCTCATTCCTTTTAGAGTGGGAAGCAAAACTTACTTGGGAGTTTCAGAATTTTTACTTCTGATATGACGATGTCAAGGGAGGGAGGGTGTTGATTATATCTTCGAATGAAGCAACTTACATAATAGTGATCGAACTTCACTTCAAGAAGTTCGTTTGATCATCTATTATATTTCGTCGCTTCATTCTCGATATAATATTTAACCAGGTATAATTTTAGAGCATTCAGTTTTGCTTCTAGTTGATTATATGTGAATTAAAAACCAGAGGCTTAATCGATAACTATAGATATTATAATTTTATTAAAAATATATATAGATATGAACATATAACGGTTTTTCTCCTGAGATCACAATCAACAATTTTTAAATCGTACAATCATACAATAATTTTATAAATAAAGATTATTATTATTATTATTAATTTAGAATAGTATAATTTGCCGTTTTATTATGTTGTAAGCAAATGGTTATTGCGAACGTGTGTTCGTCTTCAGTAAGTATTAGTCTATTATAAAATCTAGTAAAGGATGTGAGATGTCGGAGTCCAACTTGCAGCCTTGCGTATGAGCTCTATCGGCACCTCAGGCGCGCGCGCGCCCGGCGTGGAGGCGTACCGCGTGCCTTGCGCGTCGAAAACTGCTGTGTCCACACCCGCCGCGCCGCATCCAACACCTGCCGTACACATCGGCTCACGGTCTGACTCGTGGATACTCTGTGGGGAGCTCTGTGTGTCAGCAAGAGCGTTCCCTGACGTCCAGTTGTCTTATTTTGTGTTACCAAAATATAATGTTTGAAAACTGCGACAAGGCAAATACTTATATTCTCTCTAAAATATGGAAAATTCAATGTGGCCTGTACGCGACAAGACGCAGACGTTTTGATTAAATCAGATATTGCAATTTTAATCGAATATCTGATTTTTGGTATGTTTTTGATTTTAATCAATGCCAGTTTGTACGCGGTGTGCAGTACAAAGTGCAAGTAAAATAACATGTGTTTTCGTAAGTTTTTCAAGAGGAAGTTCTGTGTTGAGAAACCACGTTGAAACTAATGCGAGAACGACTTGGGGATTCCAAGTATTGTGCTATACTTTGATGCACTGGGTTTCAATCTAAATGCGCCCTTAAGTAATCTTTTTATGCGGGCGTCGAAACCTGTTTCAGACTATAAAAGAGATAAAGCAGACTGTTATTATTGCAAAATTCCCACCAGAGCTTTAGGGACACATTATATTGTGTAATTGTATTTTAAGAAAGAGAAGCTAAGGGTAGTCATCGCCTCTTGTAGGACTCCGCGGGAGGTGAAGGGCGCACTGATAACGGCAGAAAGGGTAAGGCCGGTGTGCAGTCGATGAGGCCGCCTGCAATAAGATTTAATAATGATTCGCTTGAGTTAAAATATATCACGTCGTAAACCGACAGGATTTGCAGCAGGAGGAACCATGGCTGGGAAGGCCAATATGGAAAACCAAGAGTACCATTTGCTTGGTCATCAATAATTTTGCATTTCAATAATAAAAAGAACAGTGGGAATACGTAGAAAAAAATTAGAATTCCGATCAAGTGTAAAGGCATCTACGGCAAATGCATCTAGTTCCTGAAACCGAGAGACAAAAATAGCGGATTTGGCATTGGTGCGGGATGCAAAAAGATCAATCTCGTGTTATCCGAAACGTCTGACAATGGTCTGGAAGGCGCGAGAGGACATCTCCCACTCGGTGTCGGGATTAGTCTTCCTAGATTCTATATCGGCGCGATTATCTTTTGTATTTACATAATATGCACATATGCATTGTGAAATGCAATTTTTTCTATTGTCGTCTGGCGATAAACTAATGCCGGGTATAATATAATTATTAAAATCGGCTCGTAGTCGATTTCATTATCGCGGTTAACTCACGGTTAACCCTCATATATTTACTTATTAGCACATAGGTACTAATATTGTTCAAATTAAAATCAACTTGGAGTCGATTTCATTATCGTGGTTAACGCGCAGTTAACCTCGACGTAATTTTATTAAAAAAAATTACTTGACTTATTAGCACTTAGGTACTAATATTGTTCGAATCAAAATCGACTCGCAGTCGATTTCGTTATCGTGGCTAACTCGCAGTTAACCCCGACGTAATTTTATTTAAAAAATATACTTCAATAATTAGCGCGTAAATACTAATACTATTTAAATTAAAATCGACTCGCAGTCGCTTTCGTTATCGTGGCTAGCTCGCGGTTAACCCCGACGTAAATTTATTTAATAAAATACTTTACTTATTAGTACGTAGGTATTAATATTGTTCAAATTAAAACCGACTTGCAGTCGATTTCTTTTATTTAAAAAATCTTTACTATTATTGTATAATATATCTTTATTGTATAATATTAGCACGTAGGAACTAATATTGTTCAAATTAAAATCGATTCACAGTCGATTTCGTTATCGTGGTTAACTCGCAGTTAACCCCGACGTAATTTTATTTAACAATTCTTTACTTATTACCACGTAGGAACGAATATTGTTCAAATTAAAATCGACTAGCAGTCGATTTCATTATCGTGGTTAACTCGCAGCTAAACCCGACGTAATTTTATTTAAAACATACTTCGCTTATTACCATGTAAGAACTAATATTGTTCAAATTAAAATCGACTCGCAGTCGACTTCATTATAGTGGTTAACTCGCAGTTAACCCCGACGTAGTTTAATTTAAAAAATATACGTTACTTAGTAGCACGTAGGTACTAATACTGTTCAAACTAAAATCAACTCGCAGTCGATTTCATTATCGTGTTTAACTCGCGGTTAACTCCGAGGCAGTTTTATTATAAATTATCATGTAAAATGCACATATTAATATATCTGTTCGGATTTTCATCCACACATGTTGGATTTGGTTATCTGGGATAACTGGCAGTTAACTCGATGTTTTATTAAATGTAGGTTAGATTGACATTTGCGATGTATGAAAGCGAACATTTATTATAATTGCGGAAGTAGCAAGTAGCTATATTATAAAAATGAATATTTTATTTTTTTATTTTCATTAATTATGAGCGTAAGAAAAAATCTTACCTTGATCAATGTCCGACTCGTCCGATGATATTATGATTCTATAACGCCGATGACGTTTGGCATCTGTATTTTCCAAGTTTACTTTTATAATATTCGATTTTTTCTAAGTTTGTTCGCTTTGACATTTTAACGGAGCTGTGGAGGTGTGCTTGTTGCCACGCACGAAAAAGGAATGAAGGTAGAAAATGGGGGTTGATGCGTGGTAGGGAGTGTCAACGTCAAAAACTTTTTTTTTTCTCTAAAAACCATGCGGTGTTGCCTAGCAATTAAGGAAACTACCTGGTTAAATATTATATCGAGAATGAAGCGACGAAATATAATAGTTATTTTGGTTAGATGTCCACTAAACTATAAACAAGAAAAAAGAAAGATGAGCAAATTCACGCATATAAAGTTTTATTATTAATACAATTATTAATTTTTTTTTTAAATTAATCAATTTTTAAATTATTAAATAGGACTTTTTTAACCGCTTCAAAAAAAGGAGGAGGTTCTCAACTCCACTATGTTTTTTTTGTATGTGTGCTATGCGATAACTTACATTTGTAAACCGATTTTGACGATTCGTTTTTTGTTGGGAAGAGGGTACCTCCATAGTAGTCCCATTTAATTTTGAAGAAAACGTTCCACCTCTAAGTGTGGCAAACTAGGGGATGAATGACTTTTGAGGTCGGTTTTTTTAGTACGATGTACTGAGATTATCGATCTTCAAGTTATCACAGGATAACAAATGAATTTTATGTACATTTTCCAAACAATATAGAATAAAAACCGTTTATTACAACGCCACAACACAAAAATCCACAGAAAGAAAGAATAAAAAAGACAAAGCAAAAGTAAAAAAAAAAAAAATTAAATATCAAATTTGAAATTGTTAACTCAATTTGAATTATTGTCACGTGTACCGCTGTGGCGTATGCAAAAGGATGCACACGGCTAATCCTTATCGTAAATTTAAAATTTAAATTTAAATAATCTTAATAAAATGGGCTATACGTAATATCAAAATCCTTTGTTGGAAAACTTTCCTTTCCCTTTTACCATTTATTTCTTGTTCAAAACATGACAGCCTCTCTGCTTAATCCGTGGCTGAGTGTACAACTTAACACAGATTAAAATTAAAGAAAAGCTATAAATTGTCTGCTATCAACAAGTTATCTTTTGTTTACGGGTAAATAGTGATAAGTGTTTGTCACAAGAGCGGTATCAACTACAATCGTCACGTGATCGCTATCGTGGCGAGATAATTGCACCGGTCTAAGTTCATAATTTGTTATGGCGTTTTGGTTTCATGTTATTATTATCGTATAGGTTAAATTGTAAATAATAGTAAAGAAAGTTCGTTTCCATGCAGGAGGCTGCTATTTGGAGGCCTATTAAATGTTTGGAAAGTTAAATATTATACGAACAAACAATTTCTATTTTATAATGTCAAATCGTTTAAATCGATTATTTCCAAAGTGTATGTCGACCCCAATGGTTCACTCCAACCTACAAGGGGTCCATGTCATCGAAAAAAGGGACTGCTTAAGAGGTTAACGGAGGGCCACAGAGTGGAACCCATACACGGGTCGTGACCAACGTTTAGCTTCCCATAAAAGGAAAAATCTACATTATTATTATTATTAGTCCATAGCAATGCGCGTTCGGAAACGGACGTGCCACTACGCAGTGAGTTAATTACACCTAACTCGAGTTTCAAGCGGCACAAGCCGCTGCGCGTAATTGACAATGAGTTCCCAGCAACTCATTGCCAACGAGCTCCTGGCGTAAATTATACACGCTATCGACACCATGGATGAAGGCAGCATAGTGCAGATATGCAAATCAAATTTCAGTGAAGATGAGATTTGCAGTGGCAAGATGCTGCTTTTCCAGCGTCTCGGTAAAGCCGAAGTGATGGCATCTCGCCGGAGGGATGGAGGCGTGAAGAGTCTCCAAGATATAATCACGCTGCTGAAGGAGACTGACCCGGACGACGTGCCTACATTGGTGGTGAAGGAGCTGCTCAAGCTGCCCTCCGTCACGTTCGACCACGTCGATGTTACTAGGCTGCTGAAGGACATTACGTCCCTGAAGTCTAGCCTAGCCGAAGTACAGTGTAAATTAGAGGCCTCGGATAATATCATAACTGAGCTGCGTACCCAAGTTGCGTTATTAAGCAATGCTGTTTCGGTATGTAGGTCACCAGAAGCCTCTAATGTAAACACACGACGCGGAGCAGCGCTGAATGCCTCGGTCAGCAGTTTCGAGTCGGTACATAATGCGTCACCATTCGTTGCTACCACCGCGCATGATGCGCCGCCCCTCTGCCTCGGTGGAAATGTCTACCCGCCACTTCGAAATTCGAGCGGCGGCAATCGGCTAAGGATAAAACCGATCTCTGTGTGCCTGTCTCTGAAGTTGCAAAACCACAGAGGCAGACGGTCTAGTGCAACGAGGATGGCTTTACAAAGGTGGTGAAGAGGAAGAGGAAGCCCACCAGCCGTAACCAGTGTGGCACAGCTCCGACAGGACCGAACTTCCTGCTGCGTCCGGCCGTACCGACGACGTTGATGTACCTGTCGTGGCTGCATTACTCCACGAAGTGTGAGGAGATAGTGGAGTATATCAGGCATTAAGCCAAATACACCTTGAGGGTCGAGCGGTTGAAGTCTCGCCGCAACGTGAACTTTAATTCGTTTGTGGTGAGAATACCGACCGAACATCTTTCGACCTTCATGAAAGAGGAATTTTGGCCGAAGGGTGTCATATATCGGCGATTCCGCGGTCGGTTACCTGACACCAGATTGCGCCGCACGTCGCCGATAAGTGAAATCGTGTAGAGTAGTGTTTATTATTATATTGTATGTATGTTAGTTTTAAGGTATATATAATATAGGTGTATTTTGTTTTTATATTGTTATGTATGTTAGCCTATAAGGTATATATGTATACATGGGTCTTTGTTACCTGATATAAATAAATAAATAAAAAAAAAAATTAAAAAAATTACAGATTATTTATAAAAGACATATAAATTACCTATTAAGCTCTTAAAAATTTCACAACAAACAACGTATTGTATAGAATTTAACATCAAATTGTTTTTTTATTTATAAAATATGATACTGGCGCTGCGTCAGCTGTCAAAAAATTCAATATTATACTAAAAATAATCCAGCATGAACCCTGTGATAGTTCATAAAAATCTACAAGACATAACAAGTACCAGTACCCTTGTAACATAATCGGTACAAGGGTACCGATGTGCACTAATTTACGTATTTCATGAACTATTTTATAAGCCTTACTTTTAAATGAATAGCTTTTGTTTAAGTAAATACATTAAATTGAATTAAAAATAACAAATCAATTTTATTTGTTAGAAATGAGAGTAAAAACTTTTTTTTTGATTCACGTATTTTTTTACAACGTAAAGCAAAGCAAACAAAATAAGACTAGTAACGATTCACAGGTTAGTACATAATTTGTACGTGCAGGCTACCTATTTGTATGATGTCTTTTGTATTTTTTGTGACACCAAGTAAATAACATAAGCCTTAAATAACAAAAATCTAGCGAGTACTGCCACTGCACCCATCACCCTGTGACATAAAATTGACAACTCCCTTGTGTTTATAGTTCTAAAAAAATCATTACACGTGATTTAGATCCGAAAAAATTGTGTTATTTCCTATATAACTAATACGTTCCTCTTGAAGAAACTTTGAAAAGTTTTGACACATTTTTATCAGACTACAATGTTCTAACCTGATAATTTTTTTTCACGCAAAAAAAGACAAATAATCCATTTTAATGTAAATCTAATTTGTTTTTTAGGGAAAACGTAAATATAAATGAAAATAATACATCTCTAAACAATTTTCAAATTTTATTACGAAGAATACACACGTTAATTATTTCCATCGTTTTCATCATATATTTTTTTCGAAATAAATCCTTCATGTGCTTCTAAGCAATTATTGAAGTTTTTATTCTTTTTTATCCTGTAAAGATGGTGTTGTATCCGGCGGGGACGTCGAGTTCCTATTTTAAAACAGCAAGTTCAATGTATAAAGCTACACCACTAATGACGATATCAAATTCATCAAATACACGTGCGACTTATCTGAAAGAAAGACACACCTCTAATACTTACATAAGCAGTAACGTCAATAAAGACAATCGTCTATTTCCGATCACTACTCTGGACGCGTTAAATTATATTCTTGTGACGTTTATTGCTGTTATTATTGGGTGACATCTTACGTGCTCTTACCATAACAGTCTTGGACTGTCTTTGGCTCAGAATAATATTAGACTTTGACTTGTGCACACCTCTGTAATCGTTAAATACTTTGCTACGAAGTTTGCTCTTAATTATGTCATCTCTACACTGGTGACAGAAGTAATGGGATGTTCATCGTAATCGGGCATAGAGAACAAATTATAGGAATTAGTTCGCTTTTCAAAGTTGTTCAATTGTGTAATTGCGGAGATCGGTGGTTACCGTATGGGTTACATGACTTAATTTCGGTGTTGCAACGTACATTTGTGTTCTTTTTAAATAACACCCTCTTTTGTTACAGGTATTTTCAAGCAGTTCGGCAAGCGGTACTAGTGATAGTCTGACAAGCTCCGTGTTCAACGTTCCACAGAAAAAGAATAAGTTAGGGCTGGCCCTTCTCATCACTGTTAGCGATTCTTCAGAGATGTGAGTACATGTCAATGTATTTACACAATTAGTACGCACGTCACTTAAGTATGGATCGTGACACTTTTATATCTTGTGAATTGAACAAAACACCGTGTTTTAATTTTCAGTAGCAAAACACGCGTGGTATACTCCGTCCAATCATTTATTTAACTTTTGACAGCTCGAATTCTAATCAATTAGTGATGTCCTAATGAATTTCCAGTTCGATTTTTATATAACAATCGATTTCATTTATGAATGTGAGCGGGGTCCAAAAAGAAGATATTGTCTTATTGGGATCCTGATGTTGCGTTTGACAATTTCTGTACTCAAGAATTAATAATTAATATTAATGAGGATTGAAGTGATGATTGCCGTTCAAATCCGACATCAACAATCCGACGATTTATGTAATACAATGAAAATTTATTGTAATTATTTATAATGTATTTCATTTCATTATAATTTATTAGACAGGTACCAAAATTTATCCACTTGAATAATCTTCGGTACATAATGTGTTGGCTCGATAAATATCGGACCTAAAGAGCATGTCACTTCACTAAAATTAAAAAATAAAAGAGTTCAGGAAGTATTACATTTTTTGTCTATGGTTGCATGTCAATAATTATGGAACTTTGGAGGCATGTCAAAAGTTAAATACATGGTTGGATAGAGTATAGGTTGTTTTACTTACGGCATATCGGAAAAACAATCGAAGACTATGAACACGGCCTTAGAACTCTTCTAGTTCTTCATGTCCCTGTGCCTGAACAGAGGGCATATAATAGACTGATACCAGGCGACTGATTACTACGTAATATTATACAGTCTTATTTAAACAGGGATGAAGTTAGAAGATGCGTAGAACACTCCCCGCAGCTGCAAGCTTTAGTCTGCAGGTTGCGATTGGCTACTCTAGCGGCTGGTGCAGGAAACACTTTTGTGTCTACGCTACAACACGCTACTGTGGACGCCGCCAGATGGTAAGAATAATTATTGAAGTATATGTTTATAATACAAGTATATATTCCTTGAGACAGATGAGCGTGGCTAGTACTTTTTTGCTATTTCACTTTGTTTGCATTACCTAATATTATATTTATTATTTTATTTTTTTATTTTATGTATTTCTTCTTTTTAACCGGCTTAAAAAAAAGGAGGAGGTTCTCAATTCGACTGTATGTTATGCGATAACTCCAGTATTTGTGAACCGATTTTCATGATTCTTTTTTTGTTGGAAAGAGGGGGTATCTCCATAGTGGTTCTATTTAATTTTGAAGAAAATCATCCACCTCTAAGGGTGGCTGTTCACGCATGAAGATTCATTTTATAAATAGCGCAGAAATTTTATTATAAGCAGCAATGGTTGATTTTCCTATTCTCCATTTCAAGGCTATTTATTCTCTCTCGATATACTTTGAGAAGTGAGAACCGATTTTTATTATATTTTAGTGGCTAACTAGGGGATGAATCCGGGTTTGCGCACTACCCGGTAACCGATTTCAATAAAACATGGTGATTATATGTAATTCCACGTACTTTTAAGGTTTACTACCATGATATTCTATTTCCTATAAGATATTTTATAAGCATGATGTTTTAAACCCAATATAAAGATCTGCAAGAGGCACATAGGAAAAAATAGTAACAGCTGCTGGTTCAACCCATAGCTCACTTGGTAGAGCAGTAGCCACGTTAAGGCAACAAACACAGGTTCAAGTCCGGTCAGATCGAAGGAATTTTTCTTTGTGTTTAATAATTACCTAATGTTTTCATTTTAAACGAAGATTTATTTCCGGATCGATTATACGCTTATTTCTTAATATTTTTCTTTTTCAAATAAACTAACGTTTTAGGTTCTGTACAGGTTCCATGGTCACATGTGACTCAGTTAACAAATACACGCAAAATAAAATCCGGAAAGTATAGTTTCATTTCCAATCCTATGAACTAATATTATTATATAATTGAACTAGATCGTCTTCCCTATCTCATTGCAGTATTAACGGCCTCGTGGCATCGTTTTACTAATAATGATTTTTTTCCAATTGTTTTTACTTTACTCCAGTTATGTGTCGACGAGTATGTGTAGTCGATGTTATTATGACTTGTTCTTTGCAGGTTATCAGACCTGCTGTATGGGCCGCGAGTACCGTCGACGTGGTTACTCCTTTCGAGGAGCGACGGTCGCCGAGCCACACGCCAAGCAGACGCGTTGCTGGCTGACCTCTGCTCCGTGCTTTCTGTGGCAGACACCAAGCATACAAACTTGTGAGTATGCTTATATCACTCTTCTCGTGGAGTCCGATATTTTTCAAGATACCAAGGTCTATGTTGGCGCTACGGCAAAAAAAGCCGTTTAAAACCCTTAAAGGTTGCAAAACGCCTATAAAGAAATTCGTAAGATTGCTCGATCCGTAGTTCAGTTGCTAAGAGCGGTAGTCACGTTGAGGCGACAGATGCTGGTTCGAGTCCAGTCGGCTCGAAAAAATCGTTTTTTTGTGTGTTCGGTTTTTATATTAAAAATAATAACATGCTGGTGAAGTGTTTTCCCAAAAAAACATGAATATCGTGGTAATAAAAACATTGCGATATTCAATACAAATAAACCGATATCTTGTTTGCTTTGCAGACTTGGGCAGTTTTTAGCTGTTTATTTTGTTTATTCATTCATCATTCAATCATTCATTCATACCGCTTTATTAAAAATTGACTAGACCATCGGTGTTCACTGTCAGTAAATTTTCACTTTTGTATTGTAATCTACAGCTGGTCAGTTGTTTCTGCTTTTGCGCCACCGTGTTCGGATGTGTGCTTTCCTAATCTAGTCACCCCGGTCATCACTACCACACTACATTCACATGAAAGCAATTGGCACTACGTATATATGTGTATACATTTAATTAACAGCCTTTTCCCTTATGTATTACATATATGTATAATAAAAGTATATTAATGCGTTATCCAATTTCGCCGTTAAATGCAAATAAAACCATTTATTTTATTACATACACAGAGAATTCACGCGCCAGTTCCTCGATTTGTAGGAATGTATTTGCAACGTGAAATAAAAATAAATAATGTAGTCATTAATTTCTTCTATTGGATCTCCTCCAAATGATAATTAACACATCATTTTGACTGTTTTGTTAAGACGAGCTTGAAATATAACATTGTTATCTCGCAATAGGGCCGCCTGTCGTACCTGTCTTTTGTTTTGTTTTGTTATATATTTAGATAGATAGATAGATAGTTAAAACGTTTATTGTCTTGCATCAAATACACAACAATATAATAGAGTAAATTGATTAAAAGAGACACACAGAAATCAAAATAAAAAAATAACATTATTGTTCCTATGTGTTATACAGAATATTTGTATTATAATATTTTACTGTGTGAACCACGCCAGTAAAAAAACAAGGGCAGGGCCTTAAGACTCGATTACTATCAGAACTGCTGAAAATTATGAAATCTTGATATGATTGATTGGTTTTGATGATGATCTTGATATGATTGGTCGTAGTTTCTAATTTTAAAAGATGTAACAAATTTAAACTTTATATAATTTAAACTTTACCCTGTAGGCATATCGTTGAAAGTTCAATACCTATTTATTATTACAAATTGCGTTTTGATTTTATATTAAAGTTTCATTCAATGTGCTGACATCTAGCGGCACTGGCTGAAACACTACGAACGATTAACGTCTATTAACGTTCTCCAAAAAGTCGACCACATTGCAGCATTATAAGGTTTATTTTAGTTTCTTATACATATTGTTGCACTTTAAAGTAGTGTAAAATTAAGTATTTTTCCGCGATTTTCAAGGTTTTCCGCGAGAGAATTGCCACGACCATAACGTACAAAGCGAAAATGGCGGACTGTGCTCAAGTATGCCGAACTCCGCAAACTGTAGGCAGTTGGCACACGTAGCACACCCACTAAGCACTTCTGCTATATTTATTGTTCTGTGGTGTGAACCCAGTTAACATTCCACATTTTTGCATCGATTTTTATGAAAAGTGAAATTTGACAATAGTTTACCAAAATAACCGATTGCCAGTAAAAAACTTAAAAAGTAAGGCTAATTATTAATACAAAGATCGAAAACTCAGAAAAAATTCCTTCGATCCGGCCGGATTCGAACCGACATCTTCTAGCATACCGTGCCAGACGCTATGCCAACTAAGCACGGCTAAGGCCGGCCGTATCCAAGGATTTTTTCTGAGTGTTCGATCTTTGTATTAATAATTATTACAAACTAGTGGAGTAATTTCACATAAAAAATAATTGAATATCAATTCAATAAAAAATTTGAAGAATGGCTAAACTGAAGGATTACATTTAAAAATTTTTCACCATCATTTGCAAGTTATTCTAGTTCATTACAATCGTTCTCCTTTTGCCAAATGATTAACATTTGTATATAGACGTATCGATTATGCAACAACATATTGCTTAAAAAATCATATTTTCCTTATTGTTACCCTTTTGAGCGTGATCTTAAAATCATGTGATTGTTTTCGTTGTTAAGAACTAGCTACCTAATGTTACGTTAGGTATACATGCATATAAAAACGATATAAGACGTTTATTGCCCCTGTATCTATCACGTGCTTTCTGTTAGTCATTGTTGGTGTAACGCTTAGTTAATATATTCAAGTCATATGATTTCTAGTTATTGGCACAGTTTTCATTGGAAGGTCAACATTCGTAGCTGTCGGTTATCATAGCCTTTGCGTCTACCGTGAGTTTGGATAGTTACTAAAAACACTGTCACCTTTGGTGTAATAAGGCCACATCTTTGTATTATTGTATTTTTTTTAACAGTCTTAAGTTATATTGTGAGGTATTTCAGGCTTATCCATTCGTTGCCGGACGTTCGGTACTTAATTTATTTTATGTAGTTCGTATTAAATAGTACTTTTGACATTTAATTGCCCCCGTGGCCGGACGGTTCCCATGATGATCTGACACGCAGAGGTACTTATACGGGTTCGATTCCCAGGTCGGGAGAAATATTTGAATGGCCTACGTTTATTTATCTGGTGAGTTTGGGTGTAATTTGTGGTTGTCTATGTCACCCGAGATACAGGGTCTTCCTTATGCGTGACTGAGTGTATACTTTATTTATTTATTTATACCAAGGGTACGATTTGATAATTTTGTATGGTAAATTACACACCGCTCTTAGCCGTCACAAAAAAGAACTAAAGTTTTCGATTCTGTCAAATATTACAGTTGATATATTGTTCTCTATAGTAGAGGACGATTTTTAACGCATTGGGTCGCTCCGCCGCTATGCAGTTTTATTAAAACATAATGGGAGTTCGATTCTCGGTGTAATAACATTCGATATTTAAGGAAATGAATTATCTAAATTAGTTTTTGTTTGAATGTAATATTATCCACAATCCGGGTATACCCAGTAGGGCACTACATCCGGATATTCTTTAAATTTTGTCATAGTATAGGAAATTCGTCAATGTGCAAATTTTCTGTGTCAAGTACATTAAGGAATACAGGTAAGCTTGTACCATTTTTATTAAATAAATAGAGACGAAGTTGCATGTCTAAATATAATGCAATTTCCTTCACGTGATGCTTATCATGTCTAAATAACTCTTTCGTGACGTTCATTAATTTTTTAGCACTCGCTGACAACTCGACGAAAGAAGCTCGAATGGAAATTCTTTGAAACTATTTATAACTTCATGTTTTGGTAGACACTTTCATACACGACATTTACGTAGTATTTCACGTGATTGCCTGCTAACTAAATTGGACGTTTACAAATAGTTCTACTAGTTGTGTAACATCGTGGGTGGAAGATAAAAGATGCTACTTTAAAACCGTTTTAACAAGGCACAAACCGATTAATTAGTTGATTTATGGTGAGAGGTTTTGGCACCCGGCACATGTTTTGTTTAAGTGTATACATGATAAAAGATATTAATTTATATTACATTTGTGAAGTGGAAACTGATTTTAAGTACTAATACGAATAATTGTTTCTTTGTTTCAGTTTCATCAGCACACTTCTAACTCACGTCCTAACGTATCACCTTGGCTGGGTCACCACAGTCAGTCCTTACGATACTCCGATTCCGCAGAAACATGGTCCAGACTATCCCAGTGCCTCTAAAAGAACTTACAACGCACTTTGGGCTCAGCTTAGCGATCTCTGTGGCAGCATCGGCTTCCCACCTCGAGCAGCCAGGACCATCATCAGCGGCACAACGAACGCGCAATTTGTCAATAGACTACTTGTTGTTCTCACATACTTCATGCGCTCCGGTGACATCAGAAAAAGTAACTTTGAATTTCGAGACTGTGTGGTCAAAGAAACTAAAGTTATCAGTGTAAACACACCCGAAATGTCAGGTCTGAGAAGAGTTACCACAGTGAATACATTCAGAGATGGGATTCATGGGAAAACTTTGAACGTGCCGTCGGTGAATACTCTAGTTAGTGATAGTAGTAGTAGTCCAACGTACTCAACGTTGGTTGCGAGCGACACTTGCAGCAAGCGCTCCGCGACTCTCGCCAGTCTCGGACAAAAGCTCTCTACTGGGTCAAACATCGCTGTCAGCTCTAAACCCATGACCAGCCAACTTAAAAGAAATCCCACGATGATGCTCTCGCCACAAGGTTCCTCGGGTTCTAGTCTCGATTCATCGGCGTCTGAGGAACCAGAGCCGGAGCAAAAAGTTGTCTTCGTCCTCGGCGATGACGAGAAGTTAATCGGCCTGAAGAACAAGTCCAATGGTGGAAAAAGCGTGAAACGGTCTTCCAAGGTGCACAATGAGCCCGTGAACCTGGAGGGAGACAAACAGAAGACTGACGATGTCTGTTCCAAAGAAAACTGTGATCAAAAGTCGAAGAACTCTGGTAGTCCTTCGAAGTGCTGCGGGCAAACACTTCAACATTCCAAATTAATAAAACATTCCGGTTTTAAGTTCGAGTTCGATAAGTATCCTCAGATAGTCACTAATTATATGAAAAGTAAAAACTTAGAGATTCTAGATAGACATTATATCGGTAAGCCGGGTAATTTGAAGCTGGATAACTACCAGTTCGATCCGATGGTAGTGCCGCCGATACCGGAGGAGAAGTGTGAGATTTGTTACAAGTGCCAGCAAATGGAGTCTATGTTGCAAACGCCTACCAATGCCTCTGAGATGGAATACATGAATGACATGCCGCGTCAATCCGAGCCGCAGTTCGCTAAAGTGTCGATTGTTAACGAGCGAGATGAGAATCGTGAGATTTCGCCGAAAACGTTTGTGCGGAAAAGAAAGGAGAACACAATAGTAGTGAACATCAAGAAGCAAGAGGAATCGAAACCACTGTCGAGTGGTTCGCCGGAGATGAGTAGGCTCGAAATACGGAGGGCGGAAAGAGCGAAAGAGAGGGAACGCGAATTGCAAGTGAGACAGGTGCTGGAGTTCCCGATGCCAAACATACGCTCCGCGCCGGAGAGAGACAAAATCCAGACGGGGTTCGACGCCACGCTGCTGGGTGGCGTCACCGATCACTATGTACCTGATCTAATTTTACAAGGTAAATTATATTTTGTATCACCTAAAGTTATTATAATTACAAAATATCTGGAAATGTTCTGTCCAGCACTGTATGTTATGTAGTCATGGTAAATTGTTTTTTTTTTATAATATCAAGGTACGAGACGAACGAGCCGTGTGCCTGAGGATAAACTACACGCCTGTCTATAATAATTGTAGTGCCACTTGGAGCTTTAAATCGCTAATTAGTCATTTTATCAAATGTTATAGGTATGGTATACCTTGATACCAGTTGAAATTTAACAAATTTAAATTAATAAATGTAATTTTTGTTTTTCAGTAATACATCGTCACATTTAGATGCATTTAGATGAAAAAAATGAGATAATAAAATAATAACGTTTATATTTAAATAAAAATTAGACGTAAGGTAGTAATTATATTAACATCTTTTAATATCGAATTAGTACAGCTTTATTCAAACTTTATTGAAAAAAAAAAATAAATTAAAAAAGTTAATTTTGAGAAAATATAAAAATTGTAACAATGAAACTTTGATTAAAACAAAGTTCTATGAATAAAAAAAGGTTTTCAAGTAATTTTTTAAGAAAAGAACGCAAACTCAACCTCCGTGCTCCTATGTTAGTAGGAAATTAAAAGAAATGAATGAAAAAACTGACAGTCGACTATTTTTTTCTTCTTAATTTTAACTAAAATATAAAAGTAAATAACCAGCCAGATTTTTTTAAAAACACTGCATTCTCTTGGAGATACTGTTCCATTAAATGTGCTAGTGCGTGAAGCTAATCATTCAAAAATGTCCGTAACCGACGTTTGGCATAAAATTTTCCGCTTTTAAAATGTTTAGGACAACAACACTATTTTTTTGATGAACAAGACGAAGAGTCGCGGAAAAACCTAGTAAAATTAATAATATCCTGGTCCAATTTGTTTATAGTGCGTAAGTAAGTTTGTGGTCATCCACGGACATTACTTGAAGACTTCCAGGGGCCCGTCCAGGGGCCCGTTAGGTAATAACCAAAAGTTATTATATGATTAAATGAATTTCAGGAACAATAGCAAGTCCTCAATCATGGGAGACGGAGCTTAAGCGTGACCTGGATCTAACGTCGTACCTGAACAAAACATTAGAATCGCCGGTCCAAGCCGTCGCCATTATAGGAGATACTAGCACTTGGTAAGGGCATTGCCAAAATCGTCTCACTGCTTATTTTTTTAATTTTATTTTATATCGTACAACAACAGAGACTACAAACTCAAAAGTCACAAATTTGCCATTCACGATTTTTAAAACTATAGTGAAACGAAAACTTTATACTGAAGGTTATTATACAGCTTCTGCGTACTTGGATGATAAAAATACATAATAGGGATCCGTTTACGTCTTGCAGAGTGTCTCCATCTATGTATGTTTGAAATAAATATTCTAAATGATAAGCATGTACAATTTTTTATTTACAAAGAACAAGATTGCTAGAGTTTCTTGCTCGTTCTTCTCAGAGGAATCTGCCTTACGAATGAGCAGTATAGTTTAATCAATATAACGATTTCAAGTGTAATTTACTTACCTATGAAATAAAGATTATTTGACTTTGACACAACATTTATATTACACAAATATTATAATAAAAGAAAAAATATTTAAGAAAACGACAAACATTAATTTTTGCTTAGGCTAAAGTACAAAATTGTTTTGAAGCACTTAATACTACATGAAAATATCATGCTGCGAACATATTATCCTATAATAATATTATAATGAAAAATGATTTTGTAGGAATATAAATGGAATATATTTTATTTTTAAAGGGAGGTCCGTGTGGTAGGCCGCGATTGCGGCACGAGCGGGATGTCTTCTCTTGTTGGAACCATGTTGGATGCACTGCCGGCCATGTGGAAAGCCAAGGTTCCCGCGCATCAGGTATGGACAAATATTTTTATCATAATTTATTTTAAACTATAATATTATCGAAATTAAACAAAACAATATATAATTGTAAAGGAAGGACGAAAGGTTCATGATTAAATCACGACAGTAATATTAACGTTTGTTAAAATTTGTTATTATGAGTTGTGCTTTTGAAAGGAAAAAAAATATATAAGTGAACTTAATAAGAACATCATAAGGATGTATTTATTATACATTTTATAAAACTTTTGTTGCCATAAACTGTTTACGCTTCTGCACATTACTATATGTACAATATTTTTAACGCACATTCACATAGCCTCGCACTAGGGAAACCCTGTATCGCGGGTGCCATGGACACGCACATAGGTAGACCACCACAAATTACACCCAAACTGACGAAAGAAATAAATGTATTTTTATGTTTTATTGTATGCCGGGAATCGAACCCGGGACCACTGCGTGGCAGTCCAGTGTGGTCACCGTTCGGCCACGGAATCAGTTATATAGTTCTTAATACTCACAAAAGCTTTTCTTTTTTTTCAGTGTCTACTATTCTTAGAAAGTAAGCTTCGTGAATTCTGCGTACTTTCCAAAACTTTAGCCGACATGTTGATGTCCACCGACCTATGTGACATCGCGACTTTGACAAAATCCCTCAATATTGGTGTCAACGACGTGCCCTTGTTGCTAGCTGTAGCTACAACGCATACACCGCAAGTAGCTCATAGATACGGCATTAGTTATAGATAGATTTTGTTGGAAAAAATTTCGGCTTATTTACAAGACGGTACAGTATTTTCTAGAGTCCTAACTTCGTAATCATTCGAGTTGTGCGGATTTGCATTGCTAACCTATTTCATTACAATGTATTATTTACAGGGTTAGAAATTATAAATATATATTTTTTGATAATTTTCAAGGTAATTATCTGACAATAATAATCCGATAATAATCCATGGTGATTCCTAGTTTTGTCACATTAAATGACAAACTAATTAAACACGAAGAAAAATCTTTGGGAGAACGATTTGTTTTGTAACTATTTTTGAGATTGACATTTGACACGTTTGGATACGTCTCGGATACAAACACATAGCACAACATTGCTAGCGGTACTATTTTTGTTGCTCCAATCAATTTTATAAATATCAAGTTATATTTATCAAAGTTATTGTCGTGAATCATTATTTCACATTTTTCTCCTTAATCAGTTTGTCACTACAATTAAAAATTTACTTAACCACTTGTCTGAAGTAATGTAATATAAATAAGGTGTCAATTCGGTTTGCAGTGTTTGAAATATGTTGGCAAATGCAATCATCGAACTCGAAGAGTTCCGAAACTTCGACTTCAGAAAATTATATGACGCTTTATGATAATACATATGTATATAGGGAGGTAGCTATACTACACAAAACGACATAACGTCGCCTTACTTTCTCAAAATCGTATCTTAAAGCACAAGTTACTGAAATGCAAAAAATGGATTGTATATACAAACTTTTCTACAGTTACAGAAGGAGCTGATTTCACATCACATTTCCTTTATATTCACTCACTGGCTTTTACCTATTCTTAAAGTAATGCATCAATATAAAGTTTTGCCTTCACCTGAATAATCACTCATTATAAGATATGAATTTGAGAAAGACAAGACAAGTTCACCGCTGTTTATTGTCAAAATGTGTACCATCATGCACCATATCGACACTTTTTATATGTTTTCATTATTTCATATGTTCGTGAGAAATATTTCGACACATCCGAAGAACATAGTCCGATGTGATTATATAGCGAAAAGAAAGTAAGTACGTTACGAGAATAATTTCGTTATTCAGACAAGGCCTATTGTAAAGGTGTTTTGAGGATTTATATATCTTATTTCGTTTCGGAAATATAAAATCATACAAGTCGATCTGACAACTACAGCGAAGAAGAACGACCGAAATGTACTATGTCGAGAGAACAAGTAGTCTTGCACATAGGTCTTTGTTCTACGGATGAGACGATTTCTTAAAATAGAATTTTTAAGCGGTGAATTTTTATGCTTGTAATTTATGCCCCATAATTTACACTCTAAAAATAGAATTGTAATTGGATTACCTAGTTCCAAAACTGTATTAATGATTCTGAGTACTTTACCAATAAGTTTATATAAAAGTCAGTGAGTCTGTCTTTCCAAAGCTGTATTCAAATAATTGGAAAAGAGTTAAGGCGAGACATTGCTCTGTGATTTTGTTGTTTAGCTTGAGATTATTCTGGTTTGTGATGTGTATCTTATCGAGTCAAGGGATTGGTGCAAACTAATAAACATATAGTAAAGATCGACCAAAAAATTCGGCCTTTACTCGGCACCAAGTCCGAGGCCAAGTTTAACTTATTGATGTAGTAATTTTTTCTAAACCGGTTTAGGTTTAGTTTTCTGAGTGGTCCAATCAGCGTTAAAGTGTTAAGCATTAAAAATGTGTTTATTTCTTAAAATTCAACCTCATATCAATTGTTTGTAAATAAATTTTAGTTGCAACAAAAAGTACACTGTCTTTAAAGTGCTCATTGTAAAAATATTTCAAGAACCAACACAAACACGTGAAACGTTTTAATTACGATTTAAAATTTTTTGGTCCATATTTACTAAGTAATATGTAGTTGTAAGAAGCGACAAAAAATATTGATATCGGATTGTTACTGATTTTGTTGTGTGTTGTACGTAGTTAACTAGCATTAGGCCCCTGACACAACGAAGGCTGCGATGCGGGCTTCATTCATAGATAATAATATTGTGAACGTGTTAAACGATTCCGTACAAACTGCAAGAATTTGTTTACGCTCCAACGCCATCAGCTTCCATACATTCATCGTAGGGAGCGGTAACATGTTCAAAATCAAAATGCTTTCAGCTACATGAGGCCAGCCTCGTTAAAATATGTTTTTGTCTTTTTTAATTTAGGTAAAGCGTAAAAAAATATAACAAGATAATAATACCTACTTTTGCACATATTTTACGAGCTTTTTGTAAAATACTAACTACCTCGCAGGACTATATTACTAATATCTAAACAACAACTTTTGTTCCGCGACCAAACCAAATACCAAGACAAAACGTAATAAATTTACCAAATATAAACTTGTTAAGTTTTTGTTGCAGTTTGTCACTTTTTAGATCTGTATTTGGTAGTAAGTTGTTCAGGGAGTCGATCGAGTAATAATTTTGATTATGGGTGCTTTCTTTTGTTACCGCACATGTTTATATGTGATAACCCTCACGGTTTAGAGCGATCTATTTAAATATTATTAAAGAACGAACGAAAGTAAAATTTGAAGACTTATTAAGTCATTGAACAAAAGTTGTTGTTTATAATGTTAATAATGTTACTCTGCGAGGTTGTTAATGTTTTACAAATACCCTGTATGTGTAATCCTGGCTCTCCAGTTAGATTTGGGCTTATTGGATTGAATATTCTTGTCCTAATTTCTTCTGACGTTTCGAACATGATGGTAAATGTTATCACTATCGCATCCATTACAAAGTAACAAAGAAATTTATTTTAAATAATGTAAAACACGCAACAAAATCGGCCTTATTATATTGTTATTTTTTTCTATTCTCTTTCTTTTATATTTGTAACGATCAAACTTTTTCATAGATGCCAGTTGTATTACATTTTTTGCTGATAAAGCATGGCAGATTTATAAATGCATACCTAGTATGAATTATTGTTATAAGTTTTTTACATTATAATCTAAATTATATTAACAGATGTAGTTCTCTAGCGATTGCAACACATTGGAAATGTCACTATTTTTTCGGTTCTAAAAACCGAATTTGGTTTTTTCAAACAAACCAACCATTCAAGCTCTTTGTGGAGCCCATGGTCACGGTTCACTGAGATGGTAAAGTCATCAATTATGTTATGTGTAATGTAATGTGTAATATGTGTAATGTCAATGTAAACCAAAAAATGAATTCTGAATTATAGGTACAAATTGATACCTTCAACATTTCGATACCTCCAGTGAACACTGTGCCATCTTAATTTTTTGACCTGTTCTGTTTTTATTTTCTTGTTTGTCCCTTTTTTTGAATTTTGGTCTCCGTTTCTTTATTTAAAATTAACTAAAAATTTTCCAAAAAATAAAGTTGCCGTAGCGTTCATTACGCTACGGCAACTTTATTTTTTGGTCATATTCTGTTATTTTTGTAAACAGTCAAATTTATTTACTAATATTATGCTCCCCAAATTTTGTGCAAGAAAAATAAAGAAACGAAAAACAAAATTAAAAAAAAAAGAACAAACAACAAAATAAAAACAGAGCAGGTCAAAAAATTAAGATGGCACAGTGTTCACTGCAGGTATCGAAATGTTGTTAATTTAAAAATCAGGTATTTTTAATTTACCAGAGAACTACTTAAAAACCTTCCCCCCGTCAAAGGACACAATGATATTGTCAAGCATTGTCGCGTATAAAATCTGCGAATATTCGCAGACATGGACAACCATGGCAAAATAAGTCCGTTTCCTATTGAGGATGCTGCGAGAGATAATTGAAATTAAAAACATCCTAATTTCAATATAGAAGATGGTTTCTCCATACATGCTGGTGGCAGCTTGGGGCCCAGTATTTCGTCTGATGAAAAATCCCAAGCAGACGTAAGACTGCAGTACTATTCATTAATATGTGTTATTTATTATTATTATTTTTAAAATAAATTAATTCATAAAAAACATTTTGCAAGTCGTAGGTAGCGTAAATTGAAAAATTCTTTGGGAAATTATAAATAAAGTATTTACGTTTATAGCTTTTGGAACCATAGTTTAGAAGAGGGTGGTTGGTATTAACATTAGGCATCGAGTTTACCACATCAGTCAGCAGTGACCGTGGGACCTTTAAAGTGCTTGAAACATTTATGTTTATACTTGCATTTACAGGACTAAAGTTCTGTTGTTTGTATTATACATGGCAACATTTATAATCAAGTTCTAAAATAAGGAGCGCTCTGCTTCCCCTGAAATATTTAGTGTTGGTAATTTAGTTTCATCAAGTCGTGCCATGTAATGGTCGTCGTGTCAGCAATCAGTGGCAATATTGGGTATGGCAATTGTTAGCAATTTATGCGCGTAATAATACTCGTATTATTGATTGTCACCGTTTTATTACGGTTATCTTTACAACGCTTACTCGGATTTTTAACAAAAATTATGTAGTGTGGGCAACATACAAATTGTTGAAATTCACTGTGAAAAATAAAACCCTACGTCGGTTTTAGCAAATTCGAAAATTGCCAGTTCGTATTATTAAGTGTTGTGTACCTGTGTTTTAATAATGAAAAATAATACTCATCGAGTTGTAAATTACTACAAAATCACAATTATGTTTTGATAGAGAAAACATAAATATATCAAATGATAGTGTCGATTGAGAGTTTGATTATTTTGAGTTCATAAATATCGCATTCATATTATTAGCGCTGTATATTCCATACAACGTACCTAGAAGAGTACGTTTTTCATATAAATCTGAGGGCATACTAGCTTGGGTCTAAAGCATGTATTGAGCGTTTAGCGCTTTTACCATTGTACTTTGCTGGGTCTAAGGAGATTATATAACAGTGGCTGTTCTAAATGAGTAGGGTACATATAGGTGAATAGTTTTATCCTACTAAAAAAATATTCATTAATATTTGGTGGTTTTAACCACTGTATGTCACTCCATGTATCTTATATTTTATAGACATTTATCCACTCATTTGGAACAGTCTATTCCCACCACTGCTCTTTACCTAGTGAAGTGGATCAGAGAAGGGCCTGTGTTTTGTCAACTAATAGTGTTGTGTTATTTTTACATATTCACGTCATTTCCTCAAAGTATTATTGGTTAAGGAAACAACATTTCACACTCCGCTTTGATAAAGACAGTATTGCTGTTTAATTGAGCAGCATGTGTGTAGAAAAGAGTAGTCATACTCTAGCAACTACGTTTTGTGGCTGTCACAGTGGTATTTACGTATTTGTAGAATGTTGGTTGAAATATACTTTAGATTTTAAATATAATGTTCCCTTTTTGCCTTTGAATAAAGAGAAACCCGAAAATTTTCAAATTTCAAGTTTTCGTTGTCCTGACCACAATAGCAAAGTTTTACAGAAAAATAAACGAAATATTAGAGAATGATATTGATAACCCAGAAACAAAAATCGTGTTACATGGTGTTATGGACCGGGCTTGGTAGCAGCGCTCTTCCATATTGTAAAATGATTAGCCTTTTTTAAAATAGTAGTAAATGTAGAAAATCAATATTTGTTACATCACGAGATCATGCAAGATTGTATACGTCAACTCACAACTACATTATGTTAAAATGCGTAATTATCTTGTTTAAATAATGATTAAAATAACATTAATTACACGTTTCCGGACACATAATTCGAGCCACCTTGCATTTTTATCCTTAAAGGGCTAGAATCTAGAAATATAGTTATCGTCGAAGAAAAAGTTTTCTTCGGTTTTTTAAATTCAAAATTTGAATGAGGACTCAAGGAAATGACGTTTAGTATACCAGTTTCAAAGTTGCATAATAGTTTTACTTATAATAACTTGATCAATCAAGCATTGTTTAATGACTCGAATTATATGTCCGGGCGTATATGGTGATATGTATATTTTACTTTAGTTGTGATATTCATTGAATGTACAGTTATGTTTTTATACACACATTAATTAATTAATGAAAGGAATAAATTATTTTTTTCATATTGATTTATTTGGTTTTCTTCTGACCTAAAATTCACTGTTCCTTATTACACGGAATTTAGATGTGAATAAGCGTTTCACTATTTTGTTTAAACTAAAATGAAAAGACTTCAGTTTTAACTATGGCGTGTGAATATTTTTACTTTTAATAATATTAAAAAAAAGGGTTATAGCTTCTAACCAAAGGAGCGACTAAATGTAGGATTTTACGATTAGAGCCTTTTTATCGATTAGGGTCTTTTTCTGGTTTCGTTCAGATTTAATCTCGCTTTCTCGAAATTAAAAAATGGTGTTATTTCCGGTAAGGCAAGGATAATCAAAGGGTGGACATTCCTTATCGTGTCTATACTTCTTTTTTTTTAGGACTATATTGACTTTGAATAGTATGTTGCTATCTTGACTGCGTTATCCGTGACCGCGTAGAGATCTTCTCTCATACAGGTATTCGGCACAAGGGGCACAACAGTTAAGTGCTGCATGGACTTTGTTGGGGCACCGTAGTCATATTGGGTTAGACTAGCATTCCTAAAACCCCATTTACACATCTCTCTGCAGCGACTCACATGGGTGCGAAGTCGATTTAAGTATTTGGTGTAAGGAACACCCTTGCAACATGAAACCGCCGCCGTATACTGATTCGAATCGTAAATCGAATAGAACCGACTAAATCGTGACTGTTTTTGAAGACAATGATCTAAGCTACGTGCCGAGGTTCTCAAAATAGAGAGATTGTGACGTCAGAATAAGCTTATACCGGAGAGGATGGTAAAACAACTTTATAAATTTAAAATGGCGAATCCACTAAACAATTCTTTTTTTTGCGACTGGAATGGAATAATTTTCAATTTTTTACCAGTAAAATTTTAAAACTATTGTGGTCACACTGGAATAAAGCACGAATGTTTTTTTAATAAATTACTCGGAAAACGTTGCTTTCATTATCTCTACACGATACGGGTATTGATTTTTCTTTTCTGCACTTGTGCGTTTTACTCTTGGAAATAAAAGAAGGAAAAACATTGAATGAGGAAAAAAAATAAAAGAAGTTTTACTTTTAGAGGATGGAAAAAAGTTTTACTTGTTCATTATTCTTTTATTTCTACAAACTGGTCATAGAAATTTACAGGCAAGGAGATTGATTGTTTATGTTGGTAATAAACTATGTAGACGTCGTACCATTGTAGTTTTGAATTATAAAAAAATAAAAAAAATAAAAATGAAATAGATTATTGCAGAGGTCGGAAAGTAAGAGATCACTGAACGAGTATGAGTTACAAAGACGACCGCCAACGAGGCAATCCCCGTTCCCGCTGAGGCATTTATAGTATTTGTTTCAAACGATGTGAGGAAATAATAAAAATCTAAAATAAAGTGAGGAGGATGTATAATAAAAAAAGTAAAAAAAAAATGTTAATCAATATTAAAAGTAACGAAGTATTTGACATGTTAGGACAATTAATAGCTAAAAGAAAATATTATTTTTCCAGGCACATAAACGTGCAGAACTTCTGATGTGTTTAAATGTAATATTTATTACTGTATTTTCGTTATCGCTCTTCTCACTAGCACTACTTTTCGCCACCAAAATTCAAAAAAGATGAAAAATAAAAGAATACCAAAACACTTTATTTTAATGTTGCCGCCATGTTCTCATATACAGGTAGGTATTTAGTTATTATAGGACATCTCGTTGCCGGGCGTGGTTGCCGCCATGCTCGGTAGCGAGGGGTCCTGTCAGGCGGTGGCCTCCTTTTGCGGATAGGTTATGTCGCAAAAGGAGGCCGCGGAGCGAGTGCGCGAGGACGCGGCTGACGCGCACCCGCTTCGGCGCAGACGCACGGTGAGAAGGCGAACACAGTTCGCTGCTCGCCTGATCCCCTAGCCTGGCCTCAGCCAGCGGGCTCTGGACAGGGACTCTGCATTGCACGGCCCCACGCGTCTGGAGGGAGAGTTCCCACATAACACAATAGGTATTCATATATAAAGATTTACCCCGTCAAAAAAAAATATTCGCAACTATCAGTTGGCTGTATAAGTTTTTCTTTTGCCTGTTTAGACAGTTAATTATTACTAGGTAGTTATAAAAGTTTAGAGTGGACAGTAATGGATTTTCGTACTTACTTTGCAGGTCTTGGCGAGGAAGAAGACGCATGGTCCATACGTGGTCCATGCATAAATGACAAATTTCCGTGT